GGCATAGTAACTGAACTAGGTATTGGAAGTAAGGTATTTGATGATTATGTCGCAGTGCATTGTGGCAACATATACTGTACTAATACTGCAGGTCGTTGCATACAGTGCTATAATATTGATAAATCATTAGCCTGGGAATTCAAGGACAAATCATTGATCGCACCACGAGGTTTAGCTGTTGATAAAAAGGGAATGGTTTATGTCGGTGATCAGGAAGGTGGACACGTGGTTATCATCTCCCATGATGGAAGAAAACACAAAAAGATAAAGGTCGATATAATGCCTAGGCCAAGGACACTATGCTTTAATAAGGCAAAGACTCGTTTGCTTATCACGTAAACGATTAGGAGAGGAACAACTAAATCAATGCCGTTCACGTGGTACGTTAAATATATTGGTATGGACTCTAAACTCTAAACGATTTAAATCCTATTCTTTGTAAAAATATGGTACTTATATGGCTTTTTTGATAAATTGTGACAAACAGTATGTCATCGATATGGCTTTAGCTACAATTTATGCATCATGGAAAATAAAATTCTACGTCAAATTGAAAAATACCATTGAAACTTTAGTGTCTGATTAAAGATCAATGTAAATACATTGTACACTTGACTTCTTATTTTCAAGATTTGACGAGTTTCTATATTAAATTTGTAATTAGTTATTTGAAATCGATCGCGACAGAAAAACAGTTACGGATAAAAGAACGAATTTAGAGAAAGAAAACCACAAATGTCAATATGTTATCACATAATAAGTTTTATGGTATTTTTAAATGCGTTTAATGTTGCTAAGGGCGATCTGTTATATATATATATCGCGAGTTCACTCTTGAAATCATCCACTCAAAGGTGAACGGATTGGTTTGTCTCTACCATCCAGTGTCAAATATAACATGCATATGGGAATAAAACATGTGTATGATATATGTTTATAAACGCTGCTCTATTCAAGACAGAGACAAGGAACCGGTACTATATCGTGCTAGTTCACAATGGAGCAGTCAGAAGGAAGACGTGTCACATTATTCATACTCCGAGCCACCAGTTTGTGCCCATACTCTTAAATGCCGGGTACATAGCGGAGAATGAGGAACTTAACAATTTGTAAGTCCTAGATTTGATCCGGCCACAGATTGAACCCACAAACTCCCGAATAGAGACTAACACGCTACCTTAAGACATATAGGCGTCTTTTCACTAGAAAAGTGTGAACGAAAACTTTCGATCAAATTGTAGGCTGTATAATAAAACCTTAGGTATGTGAATATTCTAATCTTTTAATTGTTGTAAACAAGATAAAGGCCCTAGTAGAATTAATCACAAAATTTTAGTTGAAAAGTAATCCGAATAACTATATACTAGTATATATGAGGAAAAAATTTGAGTAAGAAAATGAAAAACACTAAATGTTACCATGTGCAGAAAATGAGTATAGAAGGTAATAACACAAAAACTGACATAACTAAACGCTTGACTATATCAACCAACGGAATGACTGGAAAACAACTGTCATATCCCTGACTTAGTACATGCATTTTCCGATGCAAAGGGTGGATTAACCCTGGTTTTACAGCTAGTTAAACCTCCCACATGTCACAGTAACACAGTTGTACTATTATTGTTGATTCGTACAGTGTAGTACTTGTAAACCACAGATAGGATGTTGTTTATAGAAATACAAATCCACGTCAAATTAACAATGCTGATTCAGAGTCAACTACACATAGGAATCACTGGGTTCGCTCGAAATGGAAGCGTTAAATCCAATGTCTCATGTATGGAAAATACCACTCTCTCTGTTGCAAGACAATATTTCTGTCCTTATCGAACATAAATTTTCACTCCTAACCACGTTCAACCCAATCTGCAAAGCCTACCTATTTATTCATTGTGTGAAGAATTGAAAATGATATTTTATAGATTTACTGTATTTGAAGCGTTTTTTCTGAATGTAACTTCATCATGAATGCTCAAACCTACATCTCTGAAAGCAAAGAATGTATAAGTATCTAAACACGTATATATACAAATAAGGGGATTTGGCATGATTGCCAATGAGACACAGAAATTAACAACTATAGGTCACCGTACGGTCTTCAACAATGAGTAAAACCCATACCGCATATTCAGCTATAAAAGGCCCTCAAATAACAAATGTAAAACAATTCAAACGAGAAAACTAAAACGTAAAAGCTATATAACCAAAAGGGGCATTAAATAATAACCAAATACATCGAAGGTAATTTTTTCCTGGGGGAGTTTGAACTTTACTTTTTAAATTATTTTTTTAATATATCAACGAATAATTTTATTAGAAAGAAAAGTATGTTATACATCATGTCAGGCCCAAAGCGCTGACTACAGAGCTGATGATACTCTCATGGAATATCTGTCCACCAGCAACGGTATCAATCAAGTTTTAGAAAATGAAAAATAACACTTTATAAATTTGCTTCGTCCAAAGCGCTTTCCTAGATTTGTCTTCATCAGGAACGCTCAAACTTGAATATTTGCCTGAGGTAGCTGGAACCTTAGTTATTTCATTAATTTCTAAATCTATCAACGGAATGAAAATGAACAAATAATGTCAAAACCGACGCACTGACTACTGGGCCGATGTAACCTTCCTGAACTACCCTATGGAATTTGTTATCATCTGAAATATTAATGAAATACTTGCCACTGGACAGTAAGCCATTAACAAACAATTTGTGAACAATTTCTAGTAAAACAGAATTGAAAAAATTACCATACAAGTAGGTTGTGGTTATATTGCTATAATAGTTATTTTATTTCTTCATTTATCAATTCGCTTATTTTATAGATTTTTTTTAAATAAGAAAAAGTGGTATAATTGCCAATGAGACAAGAGGGACGAAAAATACCAGAGGGACAGTCAAACTCATAGATCGAAAACAAACTGACAACGCCATGGCCAAAAATAAAAAGACAAACAGACAAATAATAGTACAGATGACACAACATAGAAAACCAAAGACTAAGCAACACGAACCCCACCAAAAACTGGGGGTGATCTCAGGTGCCCCGGAAGGGTAAGCAGATCCTGCTCCACATGTGGCACCCGTCGTGTTGCTTATGTTATTACAAATCCGGTAAATAGTCTAATTCGGTAAGTCACATTCGTGAAAAGGGAGGTTATTGTAGTTACGACCTAAGGAACATATCCGATATCATCTGTGAAACGGTTACTAGTATTCCATAACGGTCAACCAACTCGTGATGGCGTCCGTAAAATTTACGAAGGGATGACTTCAACTTCACCATTTGGAACTCTTGGTTTAATAGCTTCCTTGTGAGCAGCAATCCTCTATCAAGGAAATCATGATAGGAAACACAAGCCCGGGAATATCGTATCAATTGGGAGATATATACTCCGTATGTAGGCGAGAAACTCTCCACCAAAGTTCAAATGAAGTGGATGTGAGCAATTATAGGCAACCGCACGGCCTTTGACAATGAGAAAAACCAATACTGTATGGTCGGTTATAAAAGGCCCGACATGAAAAATATGAAACAATTGAGAAAACTAACAGCCTAATTTGTAACAAAACAGTTTACGAAAAACAAATATGACAGACATGAACCAACAGCCACTGAACTACATGCTCTTGGCTTGGGACTGACACATAAAGAATGTGACGGGGTTAAACATGTTTGTGAGCGCTCAACCCTCCCCCTAACCTGGGACAGTGGTGTAACAGTACAACATAAGAACAAACTATAAAAATCCGTTGAAAAAGGCTTAACTCATCAGATGGACACAAATAAAAATACATCTAACAAAAACACAAAGTAGACGTGGACGGGTACTTATACATCCCAAAAAAAAAAAAAAAAAAATACACTAAGTACAGATCTGAGAGTACTCGCAGTTACTGACAGCTAGTTCAAAGCCAATAACAACTAATGAAAAAATCATGTATCTAAGACTAAAATATCAATTAGTACACATCCAACATGTGTTTACTTTATTTTTCAGTTCAGTACATTTACCCTTCCCATTCAAGGTATTATTGTATCACATATCCTAAATACTTAGTAGTAAAGGCGCCGAAATTTATATGTAGATAAGCATGCAGACGGTTATATACTTAGATGTGGAATGCTTGCCAATGAGACAACTCTACATTAGAGACCAAATGACATAGAAGTTAACAACTTTAGGACACCGTACGACCTTCAACAATGAGTAAAACCCATACAGCATGGTAAGCTATAAAGGGCCCCGAAAGAAATGACAAATGTAAACCGATTCAAACGAGAATTATTTTCTGTACATTTGAGCATTGTTTTCTACGGTATTATTTCGAGCATTGTTTTATCAATATCTGTATTTTAAATCAAACATTATCCTTTATCCCGGTTTGTACCCTTTGGTAATATTTTGTTGGCAGTGGGAACTTTATATTGGGGTCTTCTTATATGCTTTTTCGCTTTTGTTTTGTATTGTGTTTTTCCTGCATCAAAAAAAGAGGGGGAAAAGGAGTGGGGTATTTTCACACACAATATTGTAAGTGCATTACGGGTTTACCAAAATGCGTATAATTTGTCAGTGCAGTGTATCTCCACCAATAATGGTAAAATCATATTGGGTAAGGCAAAACAATTAAGTAATTTTGATACACAAGTTTATACACAATTTGTCCATCTTTTCCATTATATTACTAGTACACACATGTGACAACACTAACGTCATTAATTCTATAATGACAATAATGTATCATATTCCCCCTCAACGAAATGACGTATGCTATATATACAGAGATCTATACATCCATATAAATAACAGAAAATAACATGTATACAATAAACAAGCCTTAAAAGCATGCACATACCAAAAGTGAAGTTGAATAGCAACACATTATATGGTATGTATGTATACATGTTGATTTAGACAAGTAATATAATGATGAAATAGGTTTTTACACTTGTAAAGGCTTTATATTCAGGTAACATCTGTGTAACATTGATTTTTAGTCATCTCTTTTTGTGGCTTACTAATTTTCTTCGTTTTCTTGTAAATAAAGGATAATATAACATTTCATTTAATTTAGGTAAGTTTTTTTTTAATATTAATTGAGGTTATTTAATTATATCTGTGTATTCGTTATATAAGCATTAAATTAGAAATTCTATGTTTTCACAGAAATGTATATAGTACCCAGGGCTTTTTCACATGTTGTAATTAATATTATTTAGGACGTAGCGTAAAATACATAGCTGTATGTGTTGAAATACAGAATTTAATACATAACCTACCCTTCTTTTCTTGACTTGTTTTGAAAAATTTAGATTAAAAAGAATTTTTAAGTTCATGCATTGTAATAATAAGTTATCAATTGATACATTTTTATATAATCATTCTATCCATGGATATTTTAGTGGCATTTAGGTATAGCTATTTCTAAAACGCGTATTCTTTCAATTTTAAACGAGGAGATCTGTAGAAGAGAGGCAAAAGATACCGAAGGGACATTCAAACTCATAAGTCGAAAAAGCGACATGGCTAAAAAAGAAAAAGACAAACAGACAAACAATAGTACACAAAACAAAACAAAACATAGAAAACTAAAGACTGAGCATCACGAACCCCATCAAAACTGGGGGTGATCTCAGGTGCTCCTGAAGGGTAAGCAGATCCTGCTCCACATGTGGCACCCGTCGTGTTGTTCATGTTAGTACAAACCCGAAGTAGTATTCCTTGTATTTCCTAAGGAGATGAGGGTAGTAAAGTCGAATTAGATACAGTTAAAGCAAATACATGTTCAATTAAGCCTCTGGTTTTTTAAGTGCGCATATCCACAATGATTATTTATAAACTAGTTTTTTTTTTTTTTATTAAAACTGATTTAAGCTTACTGGCATTTTTGTTTGACAGATGAAAAGTTTAACGCATTTGTTTAGAATCGAGATAGTTACTATTAAATAAACATTATACTAGTATATGAACTCAGGACAATCAATTAAGCTCATGACTGTATTTGATGGTCAATGCAAACAGAAACATGACACCCACAAAGAAACTTAATCATAATAATTAAAAGAAACTTATCGACCAAGGGCTCACGCATACTAACAAAAGAAGGTTAGGGGAGGGTTGACCGCTCATAAACGTGTAAAACCCCGCCACATTTTTTATGTGCCTGTCCCAAATCAGGACCCTGTAGTTCAGTGGCTGTCTTTGGCTCATGTCTGTCATATTTTTTTTTTTTCGTAAATTGTTTGGTTATAAATAAGGCCGTTGGTTTTCTCGTTTGAATTGTTTCACATTTTAGATATGTCAGGCCTTTTATAGCCGAAAATACTGTGTGGGTTTTTCTTATTGTTGAAGGCATAACGGCTCCCTATAATTGCTTACATCCACTTCATTTGAGCTCTGGTAGGCTCCGTGTTGAAGGCCGTAATTAGACCTATAATTGTTTACTTTTTACACATTGTGACTTGGATGGAGAGTTGTCTCATTGGCACTCATACCACATCTTCTTATTTATATATATAAATACATGTGTATGAATTAGTTAAAAAGATCAAAAGAGGGTAGATATGGGTTAAAGAGTATGCATCAGAGGATGTTAGAGGTATCATAAAAATAACCAGCCAAAAGTACAGATAAATAATACAGAAAAGGTGCAAGGAGCTAACTTAACTGATCTAGAGGACTACATCACGACAAAATAAATGTGAAAAACCAAACATCTTTTATCAATCATTATAAATCAATTTTTCATTTCTTATTCATGTTCACACCTTAACAATTAAATCAAATAAGATTTTATCAATAAATCGTGACTTCAAGGAAGCTAATACTAATTAATAAGCATCCTAGGGAAGTTCATTGACCTGTATTTGGATTAAAAGTGATCAGCAGTTCAATCTTTAATGATCATTGATGTAGTAATATTTATAAATATTAAAATAAGGAGATGTGGTATGATTTTCAATTAGAAAACTATTCACCAGAGTTCACAATGACGTGGATGTAAGCAACTATTGGTAACCGTACGACCTTCAACAATCAGTAAAACCCTTGCCATATAGTCAGCTATAAACTGCTCCGACATGACACTTTAAACGAGTAAACTATCTGCCATATTTATGAAGAAAATATAAATGAAATACAAATATGACAGCCAACACCTAACGACAATCATTAAAATACAGTCTCCTGACTTTGGACAGGCACATACAGAATGTGGATTTGCACTAAGCACAAAACACAACTAACATAAAGACAAAAGACAAAAATTAACGGTCTAAGAGAACTAGCAGTTACTGAAAGTGCCTGTCTCAAGTCAGGGAGACTTTTGTATATGCAATCTTTATGGACAAAGCCTGGTATCCCACCACTTGGAGCTCCAAGGTTGACTGGGGAATAAAAATATGGTCAATTTGGCGTTCTTACGACCGGCAGTTAAACAATTGCGGGGCATCTGCTTGCCTGTTCGGGATGTAAAAATACGTAACCATGCCCTAAATGATATTAATGACACCAGGGGGGAAATGCCTGGGTAATATATGTCTGTGAATACATAGTATTTCTAATTTGATAGTCATTCTCATTCCAAATGCCTCGTGTAGAGAGAGAGAGAGAGAGAGAGAGAGAGAGAGAGAGAGAGAGAGAGAGAGAGAGAGAGAGAGGGAGAGAGGTTTGTTTTGAATGCATAAAAAATAGAATATTTAAGAGCATAAAAAAAAAAGACATAAGCACATCAGCTTGTTTAAGGCAACTTTACATAAGAGATATGCCTCCTTACTTTTATCCTAATACATAAAAGACGAATTGTTTCGTAAAAATCATTCCCGTACAAACGCTGGTTACATGACGATTGTTTATATGACCAACAAATCCAGTATTGAAATTATTTTTGAGAAGATGCATTAACTCGTTATTTTTTATTGATCTATGGGGAAATTGTTAATTTGAAAAACAGACTTACTGCTGCTTCCCTCATATCGATCGTAGCCTTGGTGAGTCGTTAAAGTACTAACCACTCTATAATAAAACACTGATGGGTTTTTGAGTTTGGCCCAGGCAATGCCACAAGTTAATGTGTCTGTCCCAAGTCAGAAATCTCATCATTGATTTAGTTATGACATATATTTATCACAACAATGTTAAATCTGCAAATTTGCGGAAGCACATTTTTGTTCTTCCCTCGCCGGGATTCGAACTCATGCTTTTGGGATATCGAGACAACACCGCGTGCACTGTCTCCAGCGCTCTAGACCACTCGGCCACCTAAACTGAACTAATGATTCGGCTTTCGGTGGCCTAGTATTACCTTTCCTCGTCAGTAGAATCTAGAGTTGTAACACAGTACATGATATATTAGGCATGAAGATGGAATTGATTGCAGATTAGCTAAATATCTATCTTAAAGGATGGTAAAATACAGTCACAGAAATAATTATTTTAATAAGTACGCCTAAACATGTGCCAACTCTACGACAGATCCATGGATTGGATCACCAGTGAAGGTGATACACGGCTGAAAACACATATCATATTCATTCTAAATATCAGCACAACAATGTTAAATCTGCAAATTTGCGGAAGCAAATTTTTGTTCTTTCCTCGCAGGGATTCGAACTCATGCTATTGGGATATCGAGACAACACCGCCTGCACTGTGTACAGCGCTCTAGACCACTCGGCCACCTAGACTGAACAAGTAATTCAGCTTTCGGTGGCCTAGTGTTTTAATTGTTCATTCCTTATTCTGTAGTATTGGCCCATCATTCTTTATTCTGTAAACCCCATCCAGACCCTCATTAATCTGGATTACCTCCGTCTACAAAAAAAAGATAGTATAAAAGCTATCTGTGATTTGAATTTAAATTGATACTACTTATGCAATTTATTGGAAGAAATATAACAATTGATAAATTTTGCAACAGTGCGTTCATTTATTTGTTTACTTGCATGTTTTGTTGTTTAGAAATGTCATAACAACCAAACTTTAATGGCAAAATAAAGATTTTCAAAACATGTCATTCATTCAAAATATTTTTTATAATAAAAGCGACATATGTTGATAATTCTCTTGTACGAAATCAATATAAACATTATTTTTGAAAGTAACCACGCAATTATTCATACGCCCCTTTGAAATCAATGAGAAATTAAGTGATCTTTTATAAACGCTGTTGGCTTACAATGTAAGAATTTCCAATTTTGTAACAACTCATTCGAGTGTCACGTGATGAGTTTATGAGTTAGCGCATTACATGTAAGTATCAGCTTGTAGATAAATGTCAATACATGCATCATGATTGAATTGATATGTGTAAAATGTAATTTATGTTTTAATTTATTCAGCGGTGATACGAATGACAAAACTTAAGGATGAATATCATTTAAGCGTGGACCCCCCCCCCCCCCTTTTTTTCTGAAAAGAAAAATAAAATAAGATAAAAATCATTATTCCTTCGGATAGTACACATATCATATTGTTAAAATTATGAAAGGGACCAGTTTACTGTCATTGAACTAGAATCCCAATTATAAAGTTGTTTTCAAAAGCATTCTCCAATTCAAATTCATCTTAAATATGCAAGAACTACTAGTATTTGCCACTGGACGTCAAGAAAACACAATTAATCAATCAACCAATGAACTTGCTTAATGAGTGATTACAACAGAGATGAACATATATTTGGTATCATTCTCCAATCAACTAATCAAAACAAAGCATGTCTTCGTCTCTCAAAAGTCATTACTTGAGACAGGCACCTTCTGTAAATCATGAAGTAAATATGTCGGGTATCACACCCTCGTTTCAAAAAAGCTAAAGTAAAAAATATTACATGCAACGTGACTTTCGTACATGAAAAACCATACACATAGATCCTTTTATAAACTGAATTCAATTTACATAGTTTCTGTTTCTATCGACTTGCTTGATTTAGATTCACTTTGAATTCGTCTAAAAAAATATATGAAATTATGACGGTAGACATTTCGACACAGTCCCTACTTAGACATGGCTTTTTATCAGAGCTCAGAATGTATCGTAAAATTTGTTTTGCTTTAATAATGACTGTTGTTAGCTATTGTTTATATTCCATAACTTGAATTCACTAAAACACTTAAAACACATTCAATATGATGGTCGAGAACAAGTTAATCGGACGACAAAAGGGTAAAAAAGAAAATTAGATAAAGAAAGGAGAAAAGAGGAGTATACCTCTTTTCCGACCCCTCGTTTACGCTCTGATTTGAATGAAGTTTTTTTTTCAACTTGCCTTATTCAATCAGTTCAGAATTCTTTTGCAGATTTAGTTTCTGTGTGATAGTCTAGTTATAATTTTCCATAATGACTTTGGAAGAAGGCGGTCGGAGAACATGTATCAAAGTTACAATTATATTGGTCAACATACCAGTAGCGGTGAGTGAACAATTATCATATCATCCCGGTCAACATACCAGTAGCAGTAAGTAAACTATTATCATATCACACTGGTCATTATACCAGTAGCGGTAAGTGACAATTATCATATCACACAAGTGAACAATTATCATATCATCCCGGTCAACATACCAGTAGCGGTAAGTAAACTATTATCATATCATCCCGGTCAACATACCAGTAGTGGTAAAACTATTATCATATCATATCCCGGTCAACATACCAGTAGCGGTTAGTAAACCATACCACATCTTCTTATATCTATATAATCATATCATCCCGGTCAACATACCAGTAGTGGTAAGTGAACAATTATCATATCATCCTGGTCAACATACCAAGTAGCGGTAAGTGAACAATTACCATATCATCCCGGTCAACATACTTGTAGCGGCAAGTGAACAATTACAATATCATCCTGGTCAACAAACCAGGAGCGGTAAGTAAACTATTATAATATCACACTGGTCAATATTCCAGAAAATATTTCATCGTTGAATCATAATTTGCCATGTGTCATTCGCATTTTAATTTTATGAATTTATCTATGAATCTAAAGAAGATGTGATGTATATGTCAATGAGACAGCAATACCTTTGTATCGTCTGTCTCATTCACCTATTAGCATACCACATTTCATTTTATTCATAACATAAGACCATCACAGAAAATCGAGGATCCTGATTTTGGAAAGGCACATTACTATACTATGTTTAAAAACTAGTGTTTTATATGTCATTTGCGACCCCCACCCACTCCTCCTCTCTCTTCTCTATCAATGGGCTTACAAAAGGTAGATACAAATATTAAACAATAATCAAAACAAGAACCGTTTTTTTTTTTAAATCAGTGCCGACCTACATTTTGATATCGGTGGTTGTACTGCATAGTAGACCCCCCCTCCGCCCTCCCCCTTTTTGCATTGATTGAACATGCAGTAATTCTGCTTATTCAATTCTTACTTATAAACATATGAATGTATTTAGTTATGCTAGAGAGGGGCGCTCCAATTTTTCCTAATCTGATTTGTGTTCGTATTTTGTTTTCATCTATCATCTATAAAAAAACGTCTTCTTTCAAAACATTTTACATTACACGCATGTTGGAAATATTTACCTTCAACATATTGTATTTTCTATGTATAATGAAAGAAGAAAACATAACCTTGGATTACAGATGTCTATTAATTAAGTACTTCTGTCATCTTTGTTATGGACGTCAGCCAAACCGGTACAGTTGTCAGTCTCATTTGTATCTACAGATGATATGTTACAAATCAAAATCTTAGCTTAAAAAGATGTACGAATTTTTTTTATTTTTTTCTACAAATTAACTATAAATACAAGACATCCATATTGGATCTACTCAAGTAATTTTTTTTGTTACTTATTATTGCATTGATGGATAAGAAATGAGTGTTATTACTTGTCTCATCAAAACCCAAGATCTGTATTATGTAATTTTGTAATTAAATATGACCAAAGCTGTATTTTATCTTTTTTAGATTCAAATTTTAATTTTAAAGAAAGAGTGTTTCACTTGTCATCTTGACCTATCTTAATAATAAAACTACACTTTCTTACCTGTAATAAGAGAATGACACTTCAATCTTACTTTTTAAAGAGTTATTATTATAAATCTTATTTAGTTGTTTTTTTTTAAACTTTGGAGACAATAAAAAGACCACAGACAAACCTTTGTCCAAAAGCTTTGTTTTAAAATACAACCATCTATCATGGAAATCGTGTTGAATGACTGTTGCTACATACAGATGGAGAGTTCGTGTTCAGACACTCGCAGCCATGTTTTTATTGTAAAGTTTTATCCCAATTGAGATTCACTCTCAACATGTCGGTGTTAGTGAAAAAATGAAATAATATAAAAATAAGAAGATGCGATATAATTGCCAATGAGACAACTCTCCATCAGAGACCAAATGAAATAGAAGTTAACAACTATGGGTCACCGTAAGTCTTACTTATATTTGAATAACCATAACTAATTACAGCTTTATTCGATTTCAGCTTTTTGGTCTTGTTGCAGCAGGACTTGGAATATGGATAGCGCTAGATGACCCTAGTTTCATGCATTTTACACATCTGGATGAAATAGAACTGTTTGATACTTCCTATGTAAAAACTGGGTCCTATATCATCGTTGCTGGTGGTTTTGGTGTAGCACTATTCGGTATACTGGGAATCGTCGCTGCAGCAACAGAAAGTATGATCTTATTAGCTGCAGTACGTATTGTTAATAAAATTGTGGAAATGTTGACTAGTGCGTATCCTCCTAATTCCTTTTATAAATTTCTTTTTTTTTATTTACTCTTTTTCAATCTTATTAGTTTTTCAACTTGTATATTTAAAAGTGTTTTAGATTATTATGATAAAATTTATGGTAAAGAGGTGTGGCATATTTTCCTTGTATTCATGTTACTCAGACGGTCAAAATCGGATTGGGGGGAGGATAGTGGAACTTAGAGGAATTTGAATATTAAAGCTGGAGTTTAAATAATATTTTTACATCCTTCAGTTTTAGCCTGAAGCAAATGTTCTTGCCTTGTTGATTGGACAAGGTTCAGTTGACCTCATTTAATTGATTGATTGGTGATTATTTGGTGTCCAGTGGCAAATATCTCATACATGTTCAGGAAGAGAACCAATTAAACAATATATAAAATCGTAGGTACTGTTAAGTAAATCGTGGAATGGAAAGAGGGAAATCTGATTGTTGGATAGGGACAAAAATTGTGTTGCTTTGCAATAGGGTATATCTATAAGGATTCACCAAAGACGTGTTGTAAATGTTTTTTTTTAATGTACAAAGAGCTTGAAACTCTCTCAACTTGAAATATCTGATTAAACGCTTCCTTTTTTAACCGGACGTATCTGCGTATCTATACAGCCCACAAAGCCGAACGGACGCCCCCTTCAATAAATATAGGTCTTAAAGCTAATCCAGTTTACCTTATTTCTAAACCCAAGTCACCTGCTAGTTGAGGTAGATTTGTTCTTGAAGTGTTTTTTTTTTTTTTTTTATCAACTTATTGATTTTGGAATCTATTTTTTTTTAAATCGGCTTTCTCTTAAGTACATTGTCTGACTTTAGTCATTTTGGATGACTCTTGGTAATGATAGTTATTTATTTACTGGATCATGCATGACTTACATTAAGATAATGTGCACAAAAAACTATTAAGAAGAATTCACTTGTAAAAATACTCTTGAATTTGGGGAATATTTTGTAATGTCAAAATGGTGTTTCACATTTTTTTTTATATTTCAGTATACAATGTTAATTGCGTTAGCGATGGCTGTAGAAGTAGCGGCAACAGTACTGGGAGTTGTATTCAAACATACGGTAGTATTTTTACTATTTTAATGCAGTAAACGCCACTTTCTATAAATTATTTTAATCATATACACCATACCATGCGTTTGTTTTAAATGATCATTTGTTTTAACTTGTACTGTTGTAACAGTGGTTTGATTCCGCCAGTGTAGTTTATCCGAATGATGAAAATTCCTAGTGTTTTATATCCACCAACAAAAATGTACTAGGTTTTTTAATGCGGGTCTAGTGTAAAATATCCAACACTCGCCATAAGATTTCGAAGAGGGTTTTCTCGAAGGAGGAAATATTTAAAAAAAAATGGAGCTTGGTATTTTTGGGGGGTATTGGAAGTAACTAAAACTTGCATAGGTGATTTATGTAAAAAAAATGTACCCAAAAAATCAGTGTTTTTTATCCAAGGAATGTTTGATTCCGCATTTGTACTTTATCCGAAGGATGAACATTCCTAGTGTTTTATATCCATCAACAATAACGCTGGATTGATTCAGATGAATTAATTGGTTCCCTGACAATTATTCTCATTTTAACCCATTAATTTATGTAAGGGAGCTACCATTTGATTTTTATGGGGGGCTAGGATGAAAAATTTTGTCCTGCCTTTTTATTTTCCCCTCTATTCGGTCCTGCCTTTTTATTTTTCACTCTATTTGGTCCTGCCTTTTTTTTTTTTTTTTTTTTAATCCTGACTTTTTTGTTTACATAAATTGTCATCCTGCCTTTTTTTTTGCAAATAATCTCATCCTGCCATTTTTTTTACTCAAAACTCCTGTCCTGCCTATTTTTTTCAAATTTCATCCTAGCAACCCCCCCCCCCCCCCCCCCCCATAAAAATCAAATGGTAGCTCCCTAAACAATATACCAGTCTACCATAAACATAAACAACGGTTTTCACACTATTTACATACAATAGTCTCTAGTAAACAATAGTTGGCCGGAATAAACACGCTTACACTGTTGTGTACTTTATCTATGTTACTGTCCTGAACGAGCTCGGTATAGATTATGAATGACCGGTGTCGATTAAATGTGATATTAAAACTAACAATACTAATGTCGTGATATTCACTGTTACTTATCATTTATCAAAAAGCAAATGTGTTCGAGGGACAATTTCTATTTTAGAAATATTTTAATTTTATTTTCATATATTAATGCAAATAATACCCATCCAAAATCAAATACGGAATATCATTATTATAGAGATATCCAGTGAAGACTTTGTGTTAATTTTCTACGTCGTAAAAAAAAGTCTACACCTTAATTTCTGACAAATAGAAGGTACAATATTTTAGTACCCCTATGAATGATCTATTCACAGAGCTCGTCGTTGTGTTGATCGACTTCTAGATTTCATTTTTATTGAAGTTAGGAATTTCGATTGCCCCTTTGATATCATTTTAGTAGTATTGTATTTTTGGGTTGTTGTTTTCTTGACATAAAACCCCAATTTCTGTTGGTAAGTGACTAATTGAACTGAATAACGTTAATTTTCAGGTGGAATCAACAATGGAGAAGGCCATAGGTAGAAGTATAAAAGAGGAATTTGATGGAGTGGCGGATAGCGAGAATATATTTACAATACATTTTAATGCAGTACAGCAAAAAGTTAGTAATATAAGACAAATGGGGAAATATATTTAGTGCAGTACAGCAAAAAGTTACTAATATAAGACAAATGGGGAAATATATTTAATGCAGTACAGCAAAAAGTTACTAATATAAGACAAATGGGGAAATATATTTAATGCAGTACAGCAAAAAGTTACTAATATAAGACAAATGGGAAAATACATTTGATGCAGTACAACAAAAAGTTGGTTATATAAGACAATTGGGAAAATACATTTAATGCAGAACAACAAAAAAGCTAGTAATATAAGACAAATGGGAAAATACATTTAATACAGTACAGCAACAAGTTAGTAATATAAGACAAATAGGAAAATACATTTAATGCAGAAAAGCAAAAAGTTAGTAATATAAGACAAATGGGAAAATACATTTAATACAGTACAGCAAAAAGTTAGTAATATAAAGACAAATAGGAAAATACATTTAATGCAGAAAAGCAAAAAGTTAGTAATATAAGACAAATAGGAAATTCTATTTAATGCATTACAGCAAAAAGTTAGTAATATAAGACAAATGGGAAAATACATTTAATGCAGTACAGCAAAAAGTTAATAATATAAGACAAATGGGGAAATATATTTAATGCATTACAGCAAAAAGTTAGTAATATAAGACAAATGGGAAATTATATTTAATGCAGTACAGCAAAAAGTTAGTAATATAAGACAAATAGGAAAAACATATTTAATGCAGTATTACGAAAAATTAGTTATGTAAGAATATAAGACAAATGTTGATATGTCAGGTCGGGAAACACGAGGTTATAACAATGAAAGAATGGATATTTGGATTGTTTATGATTTTATCGCTTATACATAATTTGTAATGCACTGGGAAATATTCTTACTTCGTAGGATTAAAAAAGTAATAACGTTGGGATGGATTGTATATCATTAGCTACCGCTGGAAAAGAATTATGTTGTGTGCGGACCAGGAAGTCACACCAGCCACGTTTTTCCGTCTTCAAAGAAACAAATGGATTTTTTTTTTACAAATTTTCAAAATAGTAGACCTAGGTTACAGGAAACCATAAACTCTTAAAAATAAATTTAACGTTTGTTTCCACCATTTTTCATAAATGTGTTGAAAGCTTTTGAGTAACACAGTTTAATTAGATTATGTTTCACATGAAAGCTTAAAACTCAGTAATGAAACTGCCGATTACAAACGTATTAATGATTTGAAGAGTTATCTCCCTTAACCCAGATTAAACTCCTTTAATTTGAATATGGCTACTGTATTAAGTCAAAAGGCTCCGATGTAGAACATTTGAAGCTCCTTCAATTTTTAGGCGGGAGCGAAACGAATGGTAAACAAAAATTCTAATCTAGAATCAAGTTTTCGCCGACAAAGTGTTCAATTTTATAATTTTCGCTTAATAAATATTTCAGTTGCAGTGCTGTGGTTTTAATAATTCGGCAGATTTCTCTACGGCTACTAAATGGAATACTACTGTCAACAACGTAACTCAACAGATCCCTCCGGCATGCTGTAAAAACATGACGTTATCAGACCAATGTGTGGCAAATCCAACACCCGTTAACTCTTACACAATGGTAAATATAAGTACACTAAGTGTTTTTTTCTTCTTGAGAAAATTGTTTGTTTATGAATTATATAAACCTTCTCAAGAATGATTAAAACAACTAAAAGATGGTATTTTTAGTTCAGCTAAAATTTGGTAGCTTGAATAAATATCTAATAAATTTAGTACTATTCTAATTCAAAGCAGGCTTTTAATTTTGTACGACAAAAACTTATTTGTGGCACTGGATTCAAAAAAGTTAAACGGACAAATAAAGTACGATGGTTGTCGTTGGTTTCTATCTGTCACATTTGTTCTTCATTTGTTGTTTACATCTACGATAAATAGTTGTCTCATTGGCATTCATACAACGTCTCATATATTTATATATATATATAATTCTATTTTAATAGATATTCTAAAAATGTTAAAGTTTAGATAATACTTGAAGTATCAATCGAGCAATGTAAACTTTAGTCATTTCGGGACCTTTTATAGTTTGCTATGCGGTATGGGTTTTGCTCATTGTTAAGGCCGTGGTGACCTATAGTTGATAACTTCTACGACCACTTGTGTCTTTGATCTATTTTTTGTTTGTTTGTTGGGTTGTATTCAAATTGACGTATAACCGAACTCTCATTTTTATTGACATAAAAGGAAAGTACATTTATTATTAAAAGAAGTATTGATCAATTTTCCTTTGTTCTATGTATGTATCATACACCTGTGCATAATCACAACATTATTGGAAGGGGTTTACAGAAACGAGAATAATGGGCTAAAGTGCAGACTAAAAAGGTAAAAAAAGTCAGGAATAGAGACAAAAAGGTCTAACAGATAAAGAATAGAGAATAATGGGCATAACATGTAAAGAATAGAGAAAATTAGTCTAAAAAATTGAAGAATACAGAAATGAAGGACCCCTTCAACCAGATCCTCTTAAATTATTACACACGGTACAGCTAGCAATGAAATTAAATGGTGTTTATTTCATCAAATCGATTTCAATGAATCATTACACAAGAGATATGTGTGTAAGAGGGTGAAATGCTACTGATTGTGTACTATTAGTTTAATGTTGAAAGAATTATACGAAAAAGGGGGGACAAAGCTAGGCTTTTGTTGAGTTTATTTAGATGTTTCAGAGATATAATTTCTCCTTTTTTATTGATAGGGAATTGCATATTTGAACTCTCTATTTCGGGGTAATGTAGTGATTTTCTCTAAGAAAGGGGTACAGATAATTTCGGAGACATGTAAAATATTATACTTGAAACTGTTTTTGTGAATATCATTTCGCAATATGGGATATCAAGTGCTCTAAAAAAAATCATTATATGAATAAATAAAGACATTATGGTGGTTGTGAATTGATATTGGGGACGATTAAAAAAAGCAACCGAATAGTGAGAGGTACATTGTAATTAAGCTTAACCTTTAAACCTAATGGTTCATGTGGTAGTATATACCAATGAATTATTCTATATTCTGTTGCCACTACGTCATTGTTTGTTATTATAGTACTTGAACAACAATATGTTGTACCTTAAAAGCGTTAGACCAAAATCTCAAAGTCCCTTAAATTTACCTCTTGGAAATAGAAAATTAAACACCAAATGATTACTGATGGTACGTTGTTTCTGACTTTTAAAAAAGAAGAGAAAACTGGTCAGCACGCAAACAAAATAAAGTGTCTGTAGTTTAATTTTTCGTCATGCAAGATGTTATCCTATGAGTTCACAAGTTATAGGCTCATTGTGTTCGTCTAGTACAACGCATGTCATATTCATTTTCCAATTAAAATGAGTTTGTCCTGAATAAGCATGATTTGTTTGCTGCTGAATGTGAAACACCCATCAATCCACCGATCGATCGTTCAAAAATTCCTTTAAGATCTTTGGGAAAGCATGTCAAACGCAAAGTAAACATTTCCGGCAAGTAAAACGAAAGGTAAACACTTCCGGCAAGTAAAACGCAAAGTAAACACTTCCGGCAAGTAAAACGCAAAGTAAACACTTCCAGCAATTAAAACACAAAGTAAACACTGCTAACAGGTAAAACGCAAAGTAAACACTGCCAACAAGTAAATCGCAAAGTAAACACTTCCAGAAAGTAAAACGCAAAGTTAACACTTCCAGCAATTAAAACGCAAAGTAAACACTGCCAACAAGTAAAACGCAAAGTAAATACTGCTAACAAGTAAATCGCAAAGTAAACACTTCCAGCAAGTAAAACGCAAAGTAAACACTTCCAGCAAGTAAAACGCAAAGTAAACACTGCCAGCTAGTAAAACGCAAAGAAAACACTGCCATTAAGTAATACGCAAAGTGAACACTTCATATGGTTGTCAAAGTGCACCACCGAAGCAGCAGACGTAATGAACCACTATAGTCTGGTTATGTGTATTGGAGAATTGCAGATTTTTTTTTTTAAATACAAACAAGGAGGATTAAAACATATAATTTTATTAAGGCATAAAAGTCGATTTCTCATTTAAAATATACGAGTAAAGTTTACTCTGATTTGTAAATGTTTTAGGGATGTAAAGAAGCTTTAGCAGATTTGTTTGAAAGATATTTCTCTGTTATCATTGGAGTTGCTGCTACACTTGTCTTCTGTCAGGTAATGAAATACTAATGAACTACTAATAAATAAATACGTATTTGTTCATATGCGGCGCATTTTATGTTACGCCACAAGATATAAAATGAATGTTTGAAAGAAATAAGCAGATTTGAATCTGTTTTATTTTGTAGAAATTTTCTATTGAATTTTGATTTTGAACACAGTTCCTATTAAAAGCCAGTTGTGCTGGGAATAGACGAACTTTCAAATGTACTAAACTGGTTCCTTCTCTACAACATTAGAGCGTAATATAATGAAATGTAAATAACAATCGAAACCGCTTTTTCTTTTTAAAAAAAAATATTCAAAAGAGAGGTGGAAGATTACCAAAGAGATAGTCACACTCATAAGTCCAAAACAAACTTCTGAAAAAGAACTGACAATGCCATTACGAAAAACAAAAACGACCAAAAGACAAACAACAGTCTACAAACACATATATATCATACATGTTTCGTATCTCGTAAGACAAGAAAGGGAAATATCCCAGCCGTATTACAATTTATGCCGTGGACCAAGGAGACCAAGTGCAACATGATGTGCTATCCTTAACGATCATATGCATCGTTTCAATTGGAACACAAATTTAACATTTGCTTGTAACTAGCAAGTCCATATATGTACAATACAATCGCATATTCTTTCAGCGTATTTGTCAAATTTGTCTGAATGTGCATGGAATATTTGCAAACTTCATTGAAAAATTTGTCTGAATGTGCATGAAATATTTGCTGCTGAACGTTAAGCAAACAACAGTAGAAATAATTTTCACATGTTGCACTTTTTAGGTTAACGCCATAACACACGATTGAAATGTATAAAAAATAGCAAGCATTTTTTAAATCAAAGTTATCTTTTGTAGACATAATCGAATGTACTTTCATTATATATGTCATGCATAGTTCATGGAGACATAGGCTTTGCCTGTTGCCAAATCCAATTCAATTTATTTGAATAGAATACTGTTTAAACTAAACTAATACATAGTTCATCCTGAATATTATGTTCGAAATATTTGCCGCTGAACATCAATCAAATATGTTAAGCATGTTTTTATCTCTTGCAATGCATAATAATTTTATCAAAATTATTTTTTTACAGTTAGTTATGATGATCTTGTCTTTCCTGATGATGTGTACTAAAGTGGAGAATTCTTACAATTTCAAAGAGTAACATCAACCAATAGAGAATCATGCTAAACCCTGATATTATTAATTGCAATATACTCATATTCATGCCTGTACATACATTTTTATTTAAAATATTTTGATTATTTCCATTCTTTAAATACTGTTGTCAACAGACTGTCTGGAAATTGCTTTTTGTTGAGACTCTAATGATCGAGCATTCGTGATCAACCCCTTGCCAACTGTGACATTGGAATACCTGATTCTCGTAGGGCATTCCTACTCGACCAGACATTCTAACCAATGTATTACGAGGATGGGATGTTACATCTTGCTTCGTAGCTGTTGGAAAATAATCACTATGATTGTGTATAAATGTAAATATAACAATAGAACTCGTATGGTCTGATTATTACCCATGTAATTATTCAAATGAGATATACATACGTTGAACTGTCAATCCTGAGCAATACTCAACGCTTCAACTCAGACTCAACTCAAAGATGCACTTGGAATATGAAGATAGGTTGTTCAAAATCTACCCGTCAGATTCTACATGGGTAATCAAGCGATTGAGAGTGAATATTATGTCTGGACATCAATTTTATATTTTACAGTAGATAATTTACTTAAAATGTACATTGTTTACAAATATTTATCCGTCTTGTAAATGTGAACGGTTGACCTTGATTGTTGCAGGTATATTGGTAGGTCATAGGTAAAAAAATAGTGAGAATCTTTGCATACACTTTGTTAGGAATGTGCTCGAAGTGTGAACAAAGATCAAAATATAAATTAACGAACACTACAAAACCAATAGCGATTAAAGCTCAACAAAGGCATTCATTTTTTTCCAAACGTATAGAGAACATAACAATGATCCTCGAGTTAACTGGAATTTATGAATGCAGGAGAACGGGGATAAAGTCACAATATACAACAATGTTGTATGGTGGTGCTCTAATTTTCGGTGCTATTAATATTTATTTCAAAGAACGAGATCCAGCAACTACATAAATCTATTTGAGGATGTAAAATATTTTTATTTAATAAAAAAAAAACATATTTTTGTTTGCTTTGATGTCTTATTCTCTTAATTTTTTAAGTCCCCCCACTGATCATTAGCTTTCAGTATTAGGTGTAAAGATTGTTGAAACTAGGGGCTCCCATAAGCCTTAATCTCTAACCAGTTAGATTGGTCCAAATATCCAAAAATAGGTTTTCTACCAAAACCAAAGTTAAAAGATATGGAACATTTCTTGCATGTATGGTTTCAATTGGTTCAGTAGTTTTTGAGATGAACATCTATGAAAAAGTCCAATTGGCGCCTCTGTAAAACATTCAAATTCAAACAAAGTTATTTCATATAGGGTTTCAATGTAATCTTTGACCTCAGCTGGAGGCAATTTTAAATTTCAAATCTGCTTCAAAGTAACAGCACTTTTGGTCAGGACCTTTAAAGGTACATATTTCTAATTTGGTTTGAAATTGTCCAATGGTTCCAGAGAACCGAAATCAGACCAATTGAACTCCTTAAAGTCATATTGTAAGTTTCATTAGTGCAAAATAAAAACAAAACAATACTTAGCAAGTACCTTCTAACAACATTTTGCATGATTTGTTTTCTTTTCACTTCATAATTTTTGTTTAACCAAAAAGGAAAATGTAATTGCTCTTAATTCAATGTAAACATTGACTTCTGCTGGTTGTCATTTTGAATTTCCAATCATCATCAAAGAAACAACATTTGTTGAAGACATGAATCAGGAAAATATGATTTCAGTTGGTTCAATACTAGTGATTTTAGATGTTTGAAAATCAGACTAATTGGACCCTTTTTGGTATCTTGATGCCGTGTGAACATTTGCTATTATGGCCATAGGTGTAAATATGACAGAGGTTAAATTTTAACTGCTATCGCATACTGATGGATTTGTATTAAGCTTTGAGCATCACAGAAGAGACATAAATTGTAGAAATAATCATCTGGTGCAGTAAAATTGGTACATTTAATGTTATTATATTGATAATGTATATCTTTGTCAGGATAGGCCTAAGTCCTCTGTACAGGTAAACTGATAAAAGCTATTAAATATTGATAGATTGTGTAGACTTTCGTAATTTTTGTGTGAACAGCTGTGACAGTTGCATCTGTGAACAGTATTATTTATCTGACAAATTAATGCTATAGAGTACACTTTTTTGTCATTTTTTGTGTTAACAATATTTAATGTGATGATAGACGTGATGAATGGCCATTTATGTGTTTGCTATTCACCAAGCATCCTCTTCATCAATAACTTTTATCACCATGGAAGATGTATTTTATTATTTACAGTTAATTTTGGTGTCTCCATAGCTGCTTTATATAACTTGTGATCAGTTTTAGACTGAATTTTTAGAGAAAAATGTCATGCACAGAGTATATGCACAACTGTTTCTACAAAGTTAAACACACAACGGGGCTTTTATAGGTGACTTTACAGATTTTCTCATTCTTGAAGGCCTTATCTTATTGCTTATATATATATGTCATTTGATTTGATTTTTGATTTTTGGTGTTTTAACGCCACTTTTAAGCACCGCTTTTGGGCTATTTCGTGGCAGCCAGTTTTTATTGGTGGATGAAGCCGGAGTGCCCGGAGAAAACCACGACCTTCGATAGGAAAACTGACAATCCTAGTCAATTAACATTGGAGTCGAGTGCACCCACACGAGCGTGGATCGAACTCACAACCTCAGTGTTGACTGGCTAGTGATTACAGTAGTAACTACTTAGACCACTCGGCCACCAAGGCCCCCTATGTCATTTGATATCTGGTGGATATTTGTCTCATTGACAATCCTAGTGCTGTTGTCAAGATCTCCTTATTCTTATCAGACCATGGCATTATAGCATGGGTAGCAAAGATATCCGGATAAAAGGGGAGAAAACTGGACTACCAATCAGAAACTAAGGCCTGAGAATTGTATTTTGAAATACATTTTGCAATAACAGCAATTATATATATGCAAAACAAAATTTAGACAAAGAATAAATTTTATATAAAAAATCATATTAAAACAAAAATATATATAATCATAACAATATAATACAAAAGTAACATAAAGCCTTTCAGCCAGGAAAATATTCAATTTAACTGGCTTAAGTATAATACAATCATATAGATGAATGTATAGGTTTGATATTAAACATAAATGGCCTTTAGTAAGAAGTTTATTCAGATTCCAAGTTAATTTTAATCAAAATACTTTAATTTTATCTCATTCAAGTTTATATTTAGTAAGGCCATACAAAAAATCATAAGCCTTTCATTGCAATAGTCATATCCAATACAGAAAAAAAGCTGTGATGCCACATGAGATAATATAGGATTTTAACTTCTGGTAGCAAATTTCTTACACTTCATCAAATTTTGAATGTATTTTGATGATTAAGACACATTTGTATCATATTTATTAAAGAATGGTAAAATGTCTGATTATACTTTCACAAGAATACATTTCCATGGGGACACACTGGATGAGATATTCCTGTTTCACAAGCATGATTTTTTCTCTAGTTTACCAGAAAGAATTTTCTCACATCTAAAATTTAGTCTTATATCATTAAATTATCATTTCTACAACCATGACAATTACATGAATGAATTAATATCAAGAATAAGAAATTGAATAAAATGCTTCGCTGAGCACAGCTGGATACGACTGCAGAGGTCCAACCCTGAACAGTTGGGGCGAAAATGGACACAACATTAGCGCTTGATACAGGTCTGAATTTGGATTGTAATTCAATATTTGACACATAATAGGTTTCTGACACCGAATAACTGTAGTCAAAGAACTTAGAATTGGTTATATGATTTGAATTTATATTCAATTTTTTGCTTATGTGCAATACACTATGCTGTTGCAAATTGACCCCCGCCCCCCCCCCCCCCCCCCCCAAAAAAAAAAAAAATTTACCCCCCTTTTTTTTTGCTTTTGTGAAATACACTATGTTGTTGGGTATTGACCCCTTTTCCAAAAAAAAAATTCTTTCCCTCAAGATATGGTCATAATCTCAATTCAAATTTCCAATGCAACCATAATTACCAATTTAAATAAATCATAAAAGTCTTTAATAGATGATTTAAAAGCAGTGTAAGGGAGGTAATCCAACATTGTACAGCATTGTACAATTTAGATTTTGGATTACCTCCCTTACACTGCTTTTAAATTGTCCATTAACCTGGAAACCCTTGTTTTTTCCTCTTTTTTTGCCCCTAATTCCTAAACGGTTTGAGCCATAACCCCCCAAAGCCAATCCTAACCATCCCTTTGTGGTATGGAAACTTGTGGTATAATTTCAGAGAGATCCATACACTTAAACACAAGTTATTGTCTGGAAGTTACAAAAATGCTTATTTTTGGCCCCTTTTTCCTTAACTGTTGGTACCATAACCCCCAAAATCAATCCCAACCTTCCTTTTGTGGTATTGAACCTTATGGTAAAATTTCATAGAGATCCATTGACTTAAACTAAAGTTATTGTGCGAAAACCAATGTGTCTTCGGACGACGACGACGCCAAAGTCATACCAATATACAACCGCAAAAATTTTTTGCGGTCATATAAAAACTAAATGAGATCTCTGTTAGAAGTTAACTATAACATTGGTTAAAATATAAATTAGAAACAAAATCCCTGAATATTCAAATATCTGAAATATAAATACATATGTCCACATTTAATGTACATAACAAACTCTTAGTACAGCTGATATAAGATGTATGAAAGTATCAGTATCACGTCATTATCAGCTGTATTTTTCTTCTTCATTTTTAGATTTGAACAATTTTCTGTATTTACTTCTTCTGTTAAACTTCGGTTCTTTTTTCTCTTCTGGTGATTCCTCTCTGTTGATATAGCCTAAAAAAAGAACAAAAAACTCATGTATACTCCAAGAATGATAAATTGTGATTTTGAGATCAAGAACAGCAATACAGTACTTTAACTTTGTCTTTGATTTAAATTTTTAATAAAGTGTGATTGGATTTTGTGTCAGAAACCAAAAGACTATATAATGTGGCAATGAAAAGACTTTCCACCAGAGACCAAAGGACGAGGATGTATAGGTCAGCTAATCCCTAAATTTTCTTTTCCACTATGATAAATATGTAGGCACTTCATTGGTTGTTAACAAATTCTATTGTTACTCATTTGATGGGCAATTTTGCGCAATGAATGGTTGTTCAGATTTTTTTACCCCGATTCCATTATTACAGCATCATCATAGACAAAACTAATAACAATGGGACATTGAACGTTCATTGTCAATTGAACAGAACTTTATCTCCCCTGAATCTGTATGAATTCCCTAAAACAAACAAGTCTATTAAACACAAAATAGAAAAAAAAAGACTGGAGCATATCCTTGGTTATCTCTAGGAACAGGATATCTAACGGGAAATGAATCTGATAGGCTTTTCAGTATACATGTAACATTGATAAAATCTTGATCTCCACGAGACTTCGCGAGAATTATGGATTTGCGGTAGCGTCTGACTGAAAAACTATCAAAACTGTTCAATAAATTAACTACATAATTATAATTGTAAATAAATGATAGTTTAATCATAAAGTAGATATATTTTGTCATATAAAATGACCAAAATAAGTGTGATTTATTTGATGTAAAGTGTTTTATAATGGATTTGTGAATATGGGAATACAATCGGCGCCATTTTTTTATTACCCCGGTTGCATTCTGTACCTTTCTGTGATGAAATGAATGCTATTTTAACAAATTTGAAGTGACAGATTACAAGCTCGATACACTGGCATCACTTTAAACTTAGTTTGAATTACATTTTATTGATATTATCAGAAATTATTAGGATAATAGCGAGTACGTTTTTAACACGTCCGATTCCGTATCGTGTCTTTATTAACTATGACCCGACGATAAAATTGGCTACAATTAGGTAGTGTCAAGTCCCATCAATATATATGTTCCTGGTTATCTGTGACACTGATATCAAATCATGAATGGTGCATGTTAAACTTCCTAACTTTATAATGTTTCTATCCATATGCCTACTTGCTTTGCATTACAGTGTAAAGCTATAAGTTTCATATGATATTCACACCATCTTGAAATGATTACATAACAGATATTGGTTCTCTTTGGTTGCCTTATATGTGGGAAAAGACAAGAAGATATCAAACATGACAGATAAGGAATCAAATTCCAGAATGGGTATTTAGGACCAGATCAACAATCTACATTTTGACGCAACTTGTGATATTGTGTAGCCGTCCTTATTTTTTTAGACAGGTTACACTTCTTTGCTTTTTAATATCAAGATGAAAAGACAATTAGTACTACAATTTTCACATGACATATAATTTTTGCAATATTTGCTTTGTCACAGGTATCAATTTTTGCATTTCATTGCTTACAAAGTTTTTGAGGATACTTTTTTTTATACTTTTGTAGTCCTGTCAAAATTGAGAAACTACTACATCATCAAAATAAACATTATAAGGTAACTGACTTTACCTCTCTCTTCACATTCTGGTGTGTCCATGAACCCAACAGACCAGAAATGTTCAGGGGTACTTGGAGGGGCATGTTTGGCCCGATGTCTGGAACATTCCTGCATTCTCTTCTGTATTGCTTCATCAGATTCCCCCGTGTCTTTATAGAACTAAAAATAGAAAGATAATTATATATGATTTTCCATTGGTTTTATATGAGAATCATGTGCCACCAATGACACTATTATTGCCAACCAATTGAAGTTAATAAAGAGGCAGATGATATTAAATAGACTCTGACATGAGGATCTTCAAATGACGTATCCCCTAGAGGTCCAAAACAAACTTAGTAGTTTTTAAAAGAGGAGATTTTTGAGAATTGGTAAGCAGACTGAAAGATTGCCACTGGCTTTTATGAATTTCTACTGGTCCTAACAGTATGTTCTGACATATAGATAGACAAGACACAAATGTGTTACTTTAGTTTCAGAGACGAAGATACACATTTTCATAAAGTTTCAATAGTAACTAATGGCAACACTATTAGCAACCAGATCAACAGTAAATGAGTATCCTTTTTGCTACAGCCTTTTTGATGCATCAATCAGTTTCAGAACAGTTTGCCTTGTAGTTTCAGAGGAGAATATTTTTAAACTAGAGGCTCTCAAGAGCCTGTGTCGCTCACCTGATTATACTTTGGTTTTGGAAATCATGTAAAAATAGATTAAAATCATAACGGATACCCTAATAATGAGTGAGGCCAAATTTGGTTTAATATTGGCCCTGTAATTTAATAAAAAATCCTGGTGGTCATCTTGAACAGTAAATCGGCAACAAAGTAGCAACACTTCATCAGCACCTCATAAGAAACATTTATGCCATGTTTGGTTTCATTCCATTCAGTGCACCTCTAGAAGAAGCATTTGTATGTATTTCCCATACGGTCTTATGTTAAAGGAAGTCCCCCGCTGGCGACCATCGTGTATGAAGGATAAGCTTCAAAGCAAAAACACTTAGTCAGCACCTCATAAGGAACACTCATGCCATGTTTGGTTTCAATCCATTCAGTGGTTCTCTAAAAGAAGACATTTGTATGTATTGTCCATAGGGTCCATTGTTAAACATTGTCCCCAGCTGGCGGCCATCTTGGATGATGGATCGGCTTCAAAGTAACAACACTTGGTCAGCACTTCATATGGAACATTCATGCCATGTTTGGTTTCATTCCATTCAATGGTTCTCTAAAAGAAGACATTTGTATGTATTTCCCTTAGGGTCCTATGTTAAACTAAGTCCCCCGCTGGCGGCCATCTTGGATAATGGATCTGCTTCAAAGTAGCAACCCTTGGTCAGCACCTCAAAAGGAAATTTCATGCCATGTTTGGTTTCATTCCATTCAGTGGTTCTCTAAAAGAAGATATTTGTACGTGTTTCCCGTAGGGTCCTATGTTAAACTGAGTCCCCAGCTGACGGCCATCTTGGATTATGGATTGGCTTCAAAATAACAACACTTGGTCAGCACCTCATAAGGAACATTCATGCCATGATTGGTTTCATTCCATTCAGTGGTTCTCTAAAAGAAGACATTTGTAAATATTTCCCATAGGGTCCTATGTTAAACTAAGTCCCCCGCTGGCAGCCATCTTGGATGATGGATTGGCTTCAAAGTAACAACACTTGGTCAGCACCTCATAAGGAACATTCATGCCATGTTTGGTTTCATTCCATTCAGTGGTTCTCTAAAAGAAGACATTTATATGTATTTCCCATAGGGTCCTATGTTAAACTAAGTCCCCAGCTGGAAGCCATCTTGGATTATGGATTGGTTTCAAAATAACAACACTTGGTCAGCACGGCATAAGGAACATTCATGCCATGTTTGGTTTCATTCCATTCAGTGGATCTCTAAAAGAAGACATTTGTATGTATTTTCCATAGGGTCCTATGTTAAACATTGTCCCCTGCTGGCGGCCATCTTGGATGATGGATCGGCTACAAAGTAACAACATTTGGTCAGCACCTCATTAGAAACATTCATGCCATTCAGTGGTTCTCTAGAAGAAGTTCAAAATGTAAAAAGTTAACGACGACGATGAATGTCGCCAAGTGATGAGAAAAGCTCACTTGGCCCAGGTGAGCTAAAAAATTGGACGATCAAAATTAAGGATTATTTTGGGTAGCCCTGATTTTCTAATCATCATGATGGACAGACTCATTGACAATAGTCTCAAATTTGCCTATGTTCCACATAATAAATAAACAACAATTATTTTAGCACAAGAGAGAGATATGTCACAACCAGACTAGATCTGCATTTAATAGTCCAAATATTGCACTCTTTAAATGACTTAAGTTTTAAGTTATGAAAGGAAACTACCAAAGAGCTGATGGAAAGCAGGACAAATGGACAAACCCACTTCGAGCTTGACATACTGTATAGACATCTGTTAGTATGCTGAACTCTATATCTTTAGGGTTTTTGTGTCCCTGTGTTACTGTCTCATTGAGGTATACCCTAAATCTCCTCTCATTCATAGTCTTGCAAACAATAGCCAGGAGTGTGAAGTCATAACTAAAATAAATCATAGAATTATCATATATTATATATATATATATCAAGACAGTCCACAGCTCCATTTGCATTTTTATTTACATATTCACTTTTTGATACAGTCCTTATAAAATGTCCAATTTTATCATAATCCTTTAGATAGAATTAAGTGTTATTAAAATGATACTTATTTTTAAGGAAATAAAAAACTGTATGAAAATCTATAATACACAAATGGTTACATACATCAGCACATTCTTGACACCAAAAAGCTTTCAGTTTTCTTCTGTCATCTTTGCCACGAACAACATCAACATAGGCATAGCCAGGCTCTGCTGTTATCTTTGGGCGACTGAAACAATGACAAAAAACAAAAACATTTTAAATCATTTCTCAAAACAGACATCAATCAAACTCTTTTCTGACCAGATTTTTCAATGAGGAAAACAGTAACCAGTTAACTTATAGAAACATTCCACATAATTGTAGAAAAATTATTTAAAAAAGCTCAGATGAGAAACCCAAATTTCTCTGAACCCAATTATTTGCAAATGGTAGGTTGAGGTGACCCAAACTTTTCATGCTGTGTCCTTTTATAGCTGACTATAAGGTATGGCTTTTTCTCATTGTTGAAGGTGGTATAGTGACCAGAATTGCTTATATCTACATCATTTGATATCTAGTGAATAGTTGTCGCATTGGCAATCATACCACTACTCCTTATTTTGTATGGATTTCCTACTATGCAAGATTTGCTCCCAGACATAATATCACTCTACTATTTCTTTCAGTTGCTTAGCTCTGATCCTTTATTCATACAATAACAGACAGACAAACCAACAAATGAACATGTTTTTACATATCCCCTCCATCATGATGATCATGTCTGTCACTTCAATGGGTGAGTGTGTAATCATTGTTCCGAGAATATTTTTTTCTGGTTTCAACAAATCAATGGTGATAAAAAACTTACATCTAAAAAAAAATATCCCCTTAAAAAAAAATGTCTTAACTTATTTTATCATTCAATCTTTAAATTTCTAGAAACAATACATACACATCAAAACTATCTTCCATCTGCTTGTTTATCTGTGGTTCTTCTTTTTCCAGATCTTCCATGTCTGTGAAGATAAAAAATTTCCAGTAAAACATTGATTTTTAGATCATCTATATACAAATAAGTCTATTCATATAGCTATTTTTAAATAGAGGTCTAAAATTGTATAGTTCATGGGTTGTCTTTCTTTATTTAAAAAAAAAAAACATGACCTTAAAAAGTCAATTGATGTGAGGTGAAAAATACTTAACCTGTTGCCAGTATTGACTTCTTCACATCCACGAGTTACTCAACATGTCAAAACTGGCTAACTTAAAGAACCTTGTTTAAGAACCTACATGTATATGAAATTGTTAAAACATACTACGCCAAGACTTTGTCTTGTGAAGAAAACTAAGAATTAGTGTTTAAAACCAATAAAATATGAAAAAAAAAAAATGTGAAATAAGATCATTACTACTAGATATCAGATCATTGTAATGCATTTAGTATACTCCCCTTATTACCACTGTCTTTATATAAAATGAACAACATTTTTTTTGGCAATAATGCTTAGTCAGTCAGGGGAATTACTGAAATTACTGAATTACTGAAATTACTGAAATTTATAAAATCACTTATTTAAGTAGCAAATTCGAAATTTTGTCACAAATTGTGATTTTGTAATTTTACCATAATTTTAAACATATAGGTTTAGATTATATCTTATTAGTAGTAAAATTGGAAAAAATGAACCTTTTTCTTCTTTCAAATAGCAAGGTTTATGCCTTTGATGCAATCAATTAGCTGTAAATTCTGTATTTGTTGAAAAAAAGCTATAATGAAGGCTTTACATAATGAACTGATACTTTCTTAACAGATTTTTCACAGCAGTGGGAGTAATTTTCCTGTAAAATTCAAGGTTTCATCTTACAGATTATGTAATAAAATTTTACTGTTCGCGATCAAAATTTCACTGTTCGGGGGTGTTGAAATTAGTGGGGGTTATTAAAATAATAATACTTAAAGAAGTGATTTTTTGGAAGAAAATAGAGGTATGATGCTTAAACAAGTGATTTTTCATGTCATTATCCCAGATTCAGTATAAGGTCATCACCTGATATGAATTGTCATCATATCAACACAGATGTTGATTCTGATAATTTTAGCAACATAATTAGTCCCTGGATCATTAGTATTGTATATTTAAAGCTACAATAAAATTAAATCACTTAGTCTAGTGATTTATTTGTACTACTTAAATAGGTGATTATTAAAAAAGACAACTCTTACTTCAAACATTTGTGGAGACAATGTTACTTGAATCAGTGATTAAAAAATCACTCATTTAAGTAAGTCCCCTGACTGTTAGTTGTCTCATCATACATAAAGATTTTAATAATGCAACAAACTTAGGGTATCTTGCTACATCTCATGTGTCACAAGAAATTTGTGAATGTAAATTAGCGCCACCCATTTGACAACTTTTTTTAGCAACTAATGATAATAGCAGTATTTTCATTTTTATGAAACCCAATTATTTTTTATAGAATATCATATGAACTTTATAATGATAAAATAATTAATATGTTAAAGTTCATAGATAAACTAAAACAAGTAGTTACCTCCAGTTTTCAGTTTTTTCTTTTGTCCTTTTAATCTTCCACCTCCAAATTTAACACTTGTAGAACTACAAGGAATGGCTTGAGAATCATCACCAAAGTCAACACAAGTAGATGTTTTAGGGGCATCACCATTACCATGGAGATCTTCTAATCTGAAATCTTGTAAAGTGTCAATAAAGTCTGAACTTTCCTTCACCCTATTTTCTCTTTTTCCATTGTTGTGTCTGTTTTGCAAGGTCATTTCAAGTTCATCTCCTAAGTCCTGTGATTCAGCACAAAGCTGAGAAAGTTCAATAGCAGGGTCCAAACTGCCATTTATTGTAAATGGATCAGAGTTGCCTCCCTTTGGTTTATCATTAATCCTCGAAGGAGCCATTGTTTCTTCCATGTCTATGTCAGGTAAATGTTTTGCATAATGAGCAGGAGCAATAGTTTCATCAAGATCTGCAGATTTTCTCACCTTACTTCTTTTAAACTTAGGTTTTGGCACTGCTGGTTTTTTAAAAGGAGGACTATTTTCTTTGGATTCAATCAACTCATCATTAGACTGACCCTTTTCACATAGTTTTCCTGTAGAATCTTGTAAAGACTGCTCTATAGCCTGCTGTAAATCTGTGTCTTGTTTTGTGCTGTTCATGAAAGCTTGACTCAATGTACTTTGTCGTAACTTATTTTTGAACTCATCATCCATGTTGGACATATCCTTTAATGGTGATTTTTCTTGTACTTTTGATTTCCTCTCCCTCATTTTCAAAGAACTGTTAATGTCAGGCGACTTTTCCGGTAACCTTGATTTTTGCCCTCTGACCTTCCGCGATAATTTTTCAACACTTCTGTCTTTTGATAAATTCAATATTTTGCCAGATTGTGACGACTCTGAATCCTCAAACAGAACATCCACTTCAGGGTATCTTTCTTCATTTTCAGAAGTTAATCCTGACGATCGTAATATCAAAGGAGATTCGTGGTCAGATGGAATGTCAATTGGTTGTTGTGATGCTCTGACTGTTTGACCATGACTGACCAATGACGGTGATGAAAATTCAGGACTGGAATGTATATGAACAGTTTCTCCACCAATATCATCTGATACATTTGTACAATTGCTTTTCATTGTTTTCTTTCTAATTTTCCGATCTTTTAGTGGTACCACTTTGAGTGGACTATCATGCTGAGATAATGTTTTACCTTTTTCTCTTCCAGGATTGAGTTGCTTTAACATGTGAGAAGGATCACTTTTATTTTTCATCAAACTAATTTTCCTTCCTTCTAATTCATCAGACTGTCCACCTATATTCAATTTTGTCTGGTCCAAATCTGGACTGCTTAACATACTATGAAGCCATGACCTATTGACTTGCTTCTCCTTTTGACCTTGATCTTGAAGTATTAATCCATTGTCTTCATTTTCTGATGAAGAACTAGTATCCATAGCAATTGTCCATTTATTTTTCTTTGTTTCTGAGTGATTTTTGGCGTCATCAGATCCAATATGATTGTCAGCTTTCTCATCACATATTGCCTCTTCTTCCTCTTCATCTAAATCAGCATCAAACAAACAGGTCTCTGGGACAATTATATGGGGCCTCTTTTCCAAATTATCTTTCCTTGATGATTTTCCAGTAATTCTATCATTATCAATACCATCTGAATGCATTTCAATCATTGTTTCTTCCATTCTTTGTCTTTTCTGTTCCGGTGAAGGGTCCTAGAATATAATGCTTCAATGATATATACTGTAAATTCAGAAATTATGACAATGTTTTTATCATTACAAAAATTACAACAGGATGTGTTTTGCCAAAAAATAAAAACTCAATTTTGAAATTTCTATAGGATTATTTGTATGTACCGGTATACAGCATTTCCTGAAATCACAATAATTAATTTAGCATGTGTATTCATTATTCAACAATAGCTCATAAATGCACACACACATTTCCAAATCTACATTACTCTACATAAGATACACTACATTATGTGGATTTTGCCATTTTCACTTGTCTGGGATGAGAGGGGAATCAGAGCGGAAACACAACTGGGGAATTCCCTTGAGTATATATCCTCTAGTTCAACATTTCTCTTGGCTTATTTCATCATAATAAGCATGATAAGAATTGAACCTACTATACTCCAGCAATTATTAAAAGCACTGCTTATTCAAATGTTAATGACATCAATGAGACAGCAACCCAGGAAAATAAAAAAACAACAAAAATCATAGAGAGGTAAAAAATTATCCCACACAATCAAGGATCCGGAAATTTTTCCACACAATTTTGGTCATTTTGAGATGATTGAAAATTTGGTGCCCCTTTCCAAATTGTCGATGTCAACTTGACTAGATTCAAACTCACAGCATCAACGAACTTGTATTGCTGTTTCTTAGTTTCATCGCATTTACTAAGTAAATGTCTTACCATTACCATGAAGAACAGTTTAGGGAAGGCAATAGTTTAAAATTGAAATGATTTTAATGACTCAAAATGGTAAATCTCTCAGACATTGCTTACGGTTACCGTTTCTTTCGATTTGACAAAAGTTAAAACCGGAAGTTTGCGATAAAGTTAAAGTACGAATAATTCCGGATTCATTTCCGGGATTTGTTTTTTGATTATCAAATTGACAGGAAATCAACGGGTTTTTATGGCTTTTTTTATTTATTACCTTTAAAAGTGTTTGAATGTAACAGACAATAGTTGCACTCGTTTAATTTAGCATGAAATCAATTTGCATTTTACGATTAAATATTAAATTTGCTGAAGACAATTTCACGCATGCGTATTATATAGTAAATAAAGCACATGAAAAAATACTTTTTTCTCCGTAAATTTAGGTTTAATTTTTAAATCAGATTTGATAATTGTCTTTGCTGAAAAGTAATTAAATAATGGATACACTTATCAGGGAATTTCAATTTTTGTTAAGATATTATTCGGAGCTTGTGATCACGGTCAGGTGTGAATTAAAACCACAGGTAAAAAGTGATTAGCGATCATTAGCCAATGTTTCCCGGAGGCATTGGTATAGATATTAGGAGGGCCCTCAGGATTATCAAACTACTGGAGTGGCAGTTTTATTACAGGAAAGGGATTATAAACAAAAACAAGTGATCACAACTTACACAAAACAGTGCAAAATGGCGATTAAGAAATCTGATTTCAAACATTGAGTCAATGAAATGACCGAAATTACTTCTTTAAAAAAATAAAATTTGTCCTAAATCCCAATTACTCGTTTAGGACAAATAGTATCATCTTAGGACATGACTGTCATATATGACCGTTTCTGGACCCTTGCACACAATAGATAAATGTTTAGAAATACATAATACAATACATATTTTTAAATATATTTTGGTTTTCCAGTATATCTCCATGATCTAGGGAATAACGTATGATGTACAGCCAACCATATCATTTTTATAATACATTCATATTGGATTGATTTACATCATGTGTCCTTCCACTTAAATGAAATACCTCTGAATATCTGCTTCTCTTTTTGTTCCTTGGCAACCTGAGTTTCAAACTTTTATCTATCCTATCGGGACTTGGATCTTCCTCTGTCTTGTCATGTGACTTCCCGTTGGATTCTGCAGCTGCATGTCCATCATTAGAACCAGGCTGCGTTTTAGTCTTGTGTGGTGTATATTTGCTTGTAGAGTCTGGGCTTGATAATCCAATGTTCAAATTTCCATTTCTATGATGAAAACAAGTTTGAAAAACAGTTAGAGAAGTGATATTGAACTTTCTCCTCTGATTCATGACATTCAAATACGATTCTTTATCACACTCACTTTTTTTTATTACAAACATCTGTCTGGACATTAATCTTTTGACATGCTTATCAAGCTACGTACTAGAACATATTGTAAGTATTGGGCTTCTAACTTTTATCATCCATATTTCCATTAATTGAAAATGATATTTTACATTGAATAGAAACAACTGTGAAAGTTTCATTTTTTTTTTTTATTATTTAACTTTCCACATACAATATTTAATATCAAAGTACATTTCACACTGAGCTTTAACTTTTTATCAGACATATTTTGCTAACAAACATTTGTAAAAAAATACTCTTCTATTTTTAAATTACTTACAAGTTTCCATTTGTATCATTATGTTTCCTTCTTTCTAGTTCTTTTATTCTATTTTCTGAAAAAAAATAAAATAATTCTCCATATAAATTTAAATCAGCTTTTCGAGCTATAAATCACAATTTCTGTCAAAGAAAGCAGGCAATTACTAAAATAAATTGTACATCAACATGATCAAAGTGATTACAAAACAAAACATTCCCTTGTCTTCCTCTTAAGCTTTCAAATAGTGATGTTTGTGGTTCTTGTAGAAGTTTTCCCCTGCAAATAACGATTATAACACAAATAATGATATATAGTTGCTTACATCCATGTCATTTGGACTCTGGTACCACATATATCTTTATTTTCATAATATTCACTGCTTTTATATTAAATCGAAGTCACAAGCTTGTGTAATAAAGAACCTTTGTGAGCACACTCATATACCCCACATGCCCACATTGTCACTGGACAAACAAAATCTCACCAGATTCCTAAGTTCAAAGACTCTACAAAAGTCAACTGATAAAAATTTTCTTGTGGATATGCACATAAACATATTATGACCTCATTAACTACAAAGTTTCATGAAATTCTGTTGTGTGGTTTCAGAGGAGTTGCGATTACAAACTGTTGCAGTAGTATATTTAGGCCAAAATTCTAAGTTCAAAGGGGCATAACTCCTAGAAAAAAAATTGAATCATAATTTCCTGTCGATATATACATTTACATAGTATGTCCTTATTCATAGTATGTCCTTATTATCTACAAAGTTTCATAAAATTCTGTTGTGTGGTTTCAGAGGAGTTGCGATGACAAAAACAGGACTGACAGACTGTAGTATAGTGAGGCCAATAAGTTCAAAGGGGCATTACTCCTAGAAAAAAAATTAAATCATAATTTCCTGTCGATATATACATTTACATAGTATGTCCTTATTATCTACAAATTTTCATGAAAATCTGTTTTGTGGTTTCAGAGGAGTTGCGATGACAAACTGTTGCAGTAGTATATTGAGGCCAATAAGTGCAAAGGGACATAACTCCTAGAAAAAAAATTAAATCATAATTTCCTGTCCATATGCTCATCTACATAGTATGTCCTTATTATCTACAAAGTTTCATGAATTTCTGTTGTGTGGTTTCAGAGGAGTTGCGATGACAAAAACAGGACTGACAGACTGACAGACAGACCGACGGACGGACGGGTAAAAAACATTATACCTGACGCAGTAAATTGCGTGGGGTATAATACAGAAATCTGCAGAGAGTAATATTTGTCAGTCAGGGGTTTTTCTGGGTATTTGGGGAAAAAGGACCCTGGCCAGTTTTGGGAATTTTTTCACGCGCTTTTCAATGAAATTGGGAAAACAGCAGATTTGAGGTTTAGTTCATTAAAAGTTATCTTTTATTGTGAAAATAAAGTAAGAAATATCCAGAATTTTACTGGCCCTTCAAAATTGAGAAGAAATTACCTCTTGGAATTGTAGTTATATGTTTACACTATAAAAACATCTACATGTAAAATCAACATTTATTAATGATTAGGAAAATTACTGTCACATTTTATTGGATTTTGACATGAAAATTTGTGAACTAAAAGTAATTTTTCCTGCTTTTTCCTTTCTTCCATATATCTTTTGGTTTTCAATTCTAGTGTTTATATTTCATCATCAACATGTATTTTGTCACCTGCCTGGAATTATTATTTTTTATTGTATTTGATCGGCAAACCCGGAATTACCCTCATCCGTCCCCGGAATCTGACCCGGTATTGTAATTGTCTTCATTTCCTGTTTATGGCATCCATTGTTTTTCAATGTTGTTTTTGTCAGTCAGATACAATTTTACTCGGATTTACACATTACTTGTTGGCGATTTTCGGCATAAAGCTAGCGGTTGAACAAAATAAACATCGCTGTCATGAATAATAAAGATGAAAATAAATTTTGAGATCGTTTGGGAATTTTGCTCCCAAAATTGGGAAAAATGTAGGGTATTTGCCATTGGGAATGGGTCCGAATACCGGACCCTGTGGAATGCTAGAAAAATCCATGTGTCTATATTTGTGAAATAACCTTATAATTTCAAAAATAGAACATAAGTCTTGCAAAACATTTTCACTGTTTTCTAAAGGTTATATAAACATGAAAAGAGAGTTTTCACTAGACTGAAATTATTTATACGGTCTTGACAAGTGGCCTTGTAGTTAATTGTGAAGACTGGTTCAAGTCATTTTTGCATTTCCTGAGTGTCAGATGTCTTTTTTTATACAACATTTTACCTAAATAAGTAATATGGTTATCTTTCTGTGTTAGTGTATTCTCATAAACATCTTTAAGGGTCTGTATGGTGTGCTGGAAACTACTACACGCTGTACATCTATCATTCCTTTGATCTCTGAAATATACAAGTTAAACTGTGAACTATAGCTCCAAAATAATACATAGTAAAATAGGAAGTTGATGAGCAATGAATGTGAAAATACCATCACACAGTATAACATTCTCACGAGTGAAGACAATTTCCAAACTTCTGAAAAGCCCTGATTTGTAGTCCTGAAAAATGGAAAGAAAATAATATACATGGCCATTATTTTAAGTATTCTTTAAACAGGAAGTTGTAAAGAGATGAATCTGAAAATACCAGTGTTCTATGATTTTTATACATATGCAACTTTAAAAGGGAAAGTTGGTATCAAAAATTCACTTTCCCACAAGTTTAATGAACTTCCCTGATTTTTATACTATTTAAAAAATGTTTTCCTGATTTTGTTATTCCTTTCATCGCATGCCATGTTTATACATGTAGTTTAATTTGAAATTATGAACTCTGTCTTCTTTGGAAGTGACAAGGAAGGATTGATGCTTTGACCCTTTACATGTCTGGTCCGGATATTAAATGTTTTACTGTTTGCATTCCGGTTATTAGGTTTTTACATCTAGATCAGATGGATACTTGACATTGCAGATTTTCCTTGCTTAGCTATCAAGCGTATTTATGACATTGATTGCGAAATACATACACACGTTTTTCTCCCCTACACTTTAGAACCCCTGCATAATTTACACCAACAACAATGATCTGGCTTTGAGACTTTGATTGAAATAAAAGAATACAAATGGTTACATCGATCTTTAATCTGTATGAATAGGAAGTTTCTGTAATTTCATTTTACCTGCCCACGGACAACAAAGGTTTAAATTTCCACTTTTCTGTGACCTAAATCAACTTGCCACGGGTGACGGGAAAGGGGAATTCTAGAACACTGAATGCATAACATGATATAGCATGTTCACATGCAGCTTGATACCAAATTTGTTCTGATTTATAGTTCCTGAAGAAAACAAATATTTCATGGGACAGACAGATGTAAACCAGTATACCCCATCCTCTTTTGAATCACTTTTTAGTGTACTGGAATCAAGTTTTGAGCACTTGGCAAAACTAACTGAATAGTTTTGTGTATACTTCAATCAAGTTTTGAGCACTATATATTTTATTCTGTTAAACCGTATAATTAATTCTTTTTCCTTTCATTTGCTTGATTATCTAATTTACATCACTTGCTTAATTATGTGTCACTATAGATAAATGGATGTAAATGTCTGTCAATCCATGAAGAAGAAAAAAAAATTAAAAAATTGAGCACTTATAAAAACTAACTAAATAGCTCTGTGTGTACTGGAATCAAGTTTTTTGCACTCAGTAAAACTAACTGAATCTAAAATTACCTGAATCGCTTTGTTTGTACAAGGAGAAAAAGTTTTGTGCACTTAGTAAAACAATCACCTGTTTATAATCTGCCTTAAACTATCTATTTCTCCTTTTAATTTATTATTCTCTTGTGTATGGGTCTCAACTTCTCTTTTAATATTTCTGTATTCTTCTTGATATCTGTAAAACAGTTATATTTCTAATATTAATATATTTAGTTATATTTCTAATATTAATATATTTATGTGTACAATACAAAAGGAAACAGGGGCCTCGGTGGCCAAGTGGTCTAAGTAGTTACTACTGTAATCACTAGCCAGTCAACACTGAGGTTGTGAGTTCGAACCCCGCTCGTGCGGGTGCACTCGACTCCAATCTTAATTGACTAGGATTGTCAGTTTTCCTATCGAAGGTCGTGGTTTTCTCTGGGCGCTCCGGCTTCCTCCACCAATAAAAACTGGCCGCCACAAAATAGCCCAAAAGCGGTGCTTAAAAGTGGCGTTAAAACACCAAAAATCAAATCAAATCAAATCAAAAGGAAACAAAATTTCTGTTTATTGATATTTTATTATATGTATAGTTATTCTTTTAAATAAGATTGGGAGTGTAGGAATGGACTTCCAAAACTCCACAACCATCATCAAGTTTACTTTGACTTCTTTTGTAATCAACAAATGGACACACAATAAAAAATGACCCACCACCAATGTCCAAAAATAAAACTCCTCTTCCTCCTCTCCCTCATTCATTGGAATGGAATAGCACTCTTTATATTTCTTTCCAATGTCATGATATTGATTTGGGAAAAGAAAAATCCAATATAAAAATGTTATACCTATTAAATATGGCATACATTGTATCCAATTACAAATTCTTACAAATATATTGAATATCAAGGAATAAAATTAACTGTAACTTATTGCAATGCAAAAATGGGAGCTATTAAATTATGTGCTCTCTTCAGTATCATCAATGTGTCATTTGATCAGCATCTCAGAGACCATTTTTTCCCCCCTTGCATCATTTTATATTTTTTGTTTTTATTTTTGAACAAATTGTTTGACACCAAATTTCTCGAAATACAAATGATTTGTTTAGAAGGGAAAACACATTTAGTTAGTTTCAATTGGAAATAAATGGAGGAAATTCAACACTGAGACTAAAAAAATTATTGTTCCTCTATTTTATTGAAAAAAAGTTTCTGATTAAAGTTCAAAAAATGTGTTTGTCCAAAGAAAAAAAAAACAATTTATGAACATGGAGAAGATTTTAATGACCCTCCTGAGACCAAACTGGGATAAAAACTTAAATTAATTTGCCTCATTGGCAATCATACCACATCTTCTTATTTTTATATGATTGTAATTCACTTAAAAATGCCTATATACATGTCAACTAATAAATGACTTCTTGGTACTAGCCTTTGCTTCTGCCTTTGTAAAACACCAAATCTTTCTTTCCAGTCGGCTATCTGTTCTATGTAATCTGTAATGAGAAAGCATGGACATATCTATCAGGTATTTTATAAACCATGATTAGGTACATGTATATTGCAAATCATGATTAGCTCTACACATATTGTAAGCATGATCAAATACATGTATATTGTAAATCATGATTAGGTATGTGTATATTGTAAATCATGATTAAATAGGAACAGGTATATTGTAAATCATGATAAGGTACATGTTTATTGTAAATCATGATAAGGTACATGTTTATTGTAAATCATGATAAGGTACATGTTTATTGTAAATCATGATAAGGTGTTTTATAAATCACTATAAGGTGCATGTACAAAATGTATATTGTAAATCATGATTAGGTACATGTACAAAAAATATGCATGTATAAATGTAAATCATGATTAGGTCTCTATAAATCATGATAAGGTACATGTATATGCATCATGATCAAGAACAGATTTCTTATCAGAGTCATTGCATTAATAAATAGTAAAGCACAAATGTAAGTCGGCTGATCATGTTTCACACTTTAAACAATGCAATATAGCTACTCAGTTAATAGAATTACTATAAATGTAAGAGTTAGTCAATCTGATTAAAATTCAGATTCTAGGTTCAAGCTTTGTTTACAAGGATCTGACAACACTTTGTTTTACTTTTTGTTTTGGTAATTATTACATCAGCCAATGAATTTCAGTCTTCAAATTTTTGAAGGTGTGTATTAAGCTGACAAAACCAGAGGATCCTGAAAGGTTTTTAAAACAGAAAGTAGACTGGAGCATTTTCAGATCTTTGTAAGCAAACTGTAAACTGACAAAACCAGAGGATCCTGAAAGGTTTTTAAAACAGAAAGTAGACTGGAGCATTTTCAGATCTTTGTAAGCAAAGCTGGACACAGGACATGCAGGATCTGCACTTTAATCAGATTACAAGTAAGTCAGCCCATGTCCAATTCAAACATGTTCATTTCAAATCCCCGTGATAATCCCCAGAAATTACATTGATTGTCTTGAATGCCTTTAGTTATGAAGTCTATTTAGAATACAAACAGGATAGAAAAGTGTCTGGTTTGCTCAAACCATTATAAGCCATGATATATATCTATCTATATTGCTAGTACATTTCAGTTCTACATGTACCAGTCCTTTTTTTACATGTACAATGTATCAATTGAAACAGTTATAGCCAAACCCTAGTCTCAAACATATGCCCAGAAATATAGCATGTATTATAATATTAGATACATGTAAATAAAATGAATAGTTTTGTTTGTTTTAACATGTCTAATGGGCTATAATCTTACCTCTAATTTTCCTGTTGTGGAAATTTAATGCCTCTATAATGATGCCCTTAAATGTCTTATCTTCTGCCATCCTATAAATAGAACTAAGATTTTTAAAAAATTGCAATTTTTTTTTAATAATACAGTACATAAGTCATAATTATAAGTTCCTAAAATCATATATGGACACATTGTGTTTTCATGATCAATTTGAATGCAGGAGAAATTTTAATCATTGTAAATTTCAGTATAAGTATAAGAACAAAAGAAATCAGATTCAAGTTTGTTCACAGACCCATCAGTCCAGGCTTGTAAAATTTCTATCTGTCCGCCAGTAAGAATTTCTACTACAAGCCAATATAATCATGATAATCTATACAAAATTTTCAAAAAATGCTGCAATTTTTTTTATTATAATGACTGAAAAAGACATACATGTACATCATGTACATACCAGTAATTATTTTATCATTTTCAAAATAATCAACAAAATCTAAATAATTTTTTTTTTATAATTAACTGGCCATGGTGGAAATGAACACACTCCACTCCATTATAAACAGTACAGGGTAATGAAAGCAGGGCTGTGTGTGTTTGTTGGTGGGGCTCCCGACTGTCAGACACTTTGAAAGAAAAAAGAATTTTCTGAAACAGTCAGGGGAATTACTTAAATGAGTGATTAAGAAATTAGTGCCATTGATTCATGTAACATTTTTCTAGAAATGTTGGAAGTAAGGGGTGTCTTTCTTTAACAATCACCTATTTAAGTAATACAAATAAATCACTAGACTAAGTGATGTAATTCTATTTTAGCTTTAAATATATAAAACAATAAAATATTTAAAGCTAAATATAATGATCCAGGGACTTATTATGTTGCTAAAATTGTCAGAACCAACATCTGTTTTTATAAAATGGCCGGTTTATGTAAGGTGATGACCTTGTCCTGAATCTGGGATAATGACATGAAAATGAATCTGGGATAATGTACACAATGATGTATGATACATGTACTTTGTACATGTATCATACATCATTGTGTACATTGTCATACCTCTAGTTTCTAACAAAAAAATCACTTCTTTTAAGTATTATTATCATATTTACCCCCACTAATTTCAACACCCCTGAACAGTGAAATTTTGGTCATGAACAGTAAAATTTTATTACATAATCTGCAAGATGAAACCTTGAATTTAAAAGGAAAAATACTCCCACTGCTGGGAAAAATCTGTTAAGAAAGTATTTGATCATTTGGAGAAAATGTCTGTGATAACTGAAAGGCTTTATTACAGACATTGTTTCTTTGTACAATAACGGACATGTGTTATTTCAACACAATTCATGACAGGAGGAGATAACTCTGTCAGATTTCCCTAAATAGCAGTATGCCTGTTATTTTCTGTAATAATTAGTTTAAGTTATACCCTTGACTGTCTAGTTCAAATAATTATGACGTCTTGAAAGGCTATTGTTATTTTTTGCTGCGACACCTTCCTGCATGCCTCATATTAATCTTTCGCAGCTAATCCAGGTAGCAACTACCTTCTGTTATCCCCAGGATGTTTTTATTTAGATACTTGAATGGGAATATGATGGTTATTTAAAGGGATGATGAGTAAGATCATATACATGTAGAAAAAATCTTCTAAATAAGGCTGAACAAAATTCACAGGCACTTGTTTCTGTCAATGGGGGATTTACTATCCACACTCGTACGAAAAATCATCACCCTGATTACATGTTCGCCCATAGAGTCTGTTTCCCCTGGATTCGTTCTGCCTACTTTTATTAAAAAATATTAATAATATAGTTATTAAAGTTTAATAAACTTATTCAAAAATTTATATGGTTTAAATTCTCGAAATTCATTGACAGATTTTAAAGTTAAAATATGGCTTGTTTTGGAGCATTTAAAATTGTTCATAATAATAATTCTCACTGATTGTTGTAATAATCATTATACGAATACGAATACGAATACGAATACGAAAGTTTTATTTTGATTCGGTTCACATATAACAATACAAACATAAGCTCTTAAGAGCTTTTTACCGAATATAAGGTAACACAAACACAACATTAAAACACACAACATGCAGACAGGATATATAACAGCACAGTCATATCGAAATACATGCAAAGCACTTTTAAATTGTCTTTACTGGATCAATAATAAAAACAACATTTAGTTTTGATAAACTAGTCAGCTTAGAATTGGTAAAAACAAACATATACGAATTGTAAAACATGAAAAGGATTCATACGTTCATTTATCATTATACTGCATAAATTTTTAAAATTGCCTTGCTAGACTTATTAAAATTGTTTAAAAAATATCAATAAAGATAAATACTTTGTATTCCAGTATTCTACTATGCAGATCAAAGGAAATTAATTATTTGGTTGCAGCATTACAAATATTTAGCGATTTTTTCGGCAAACTTTAAGTTTAACATACTGACTGTTCAAATAATGAACATAATGCAACTACTGAACTAGACAACAATGTCAATGCTAAAAAATGAAATACTTCAGAAAATTTGTCAAAAGTAACCTAAAGTATATTTTTAAACTGAGGCTCTAACAAAGTAAGCTTAAACAGTAACAAAAATAACAGTTTTCAATGATTCCACTGTCACATTGCCCATTCACACTTTTATTTTTACTTTTTCAGATTTTGGAAATGGCGCCGGAAATGCTCTATGTAAATATTTTACGACTATAGCTATGCAAAAATTATATTCGGCAATAACATTGCACAAATATTTAAAGAATATGATCTAAAAGAAAGTGATATTTAAAATCTGGAAATTCAACGAATGTTTAGTGTAATACTCGGATTTACGACAAACAGAAATTGTAAGATTGCCGGAAGTGAACGGGTTGCTAATGCTAATCAAATTTTGGAGATTTTTCAGCTGCATTTTCTACTCGTAGCATCCTTGGTTTCAAGTAAAATTGACTAAATTCAATCTCCAGGTTAACAATAGTATTGAAAAAGTCCAAACATACGTTTGACAATCACATTTCATGAATTTAAATCAGAAACTAATGTCAGGTGTCCCAAATTCACTAACACAAGACGGCAAACCCCGTCTTATATAAGGAAGGTGCTAGTTGATGAGTCATCCTTTTAGGGATAATGTGCACCAGGACACAGAATCTCGAACGGATGATATGATGAGGTCACAAATTTTATAAGGCAAATTCATAGCACACGGATATATGTAAATCAACACACAAATGTTTTAATCGGCACTGGCACCTGTATATATTTAATATGAGGCAGGCGTTACCTGTGAAAGTGGACGAAGAATTATTTTTTTTAATTCAAACATATTTTATCTTCAAAATATGTTAAAAAAAGAAACGGAAATACCGTAACGTTTCCAATTTTGGTTCTGTTGTAAGGGATTTTAGTTGTGACGTTATTTTACTTATGACGTCATATTCGATGTAAACAAAGAAACGCTATCATCAGGTAACGTTTTTTCATATCAAAGAATAGTTAGAAATGAAATTGTTATTGTGTTCCTTCCTATATTTGACTGGACTGATAAATATATATTTCACTCAAAGTCTCATGACACACGAGACCGGAAGAAGGAAGTAGATTTCTGCGCAAATGCGGGAATTAAAAAAAGTTACAAAAAAAAAGTTAATGATTTTGAGTTCATTAGTACAATGAAAATTTCGGGAAATTTTCCCGATTTTTTTTTTTTTTTTTTTTTTTTATTGATTTTTCTACTGTAATAGGGGACTTCGTCCCCTTATTAAACACATTTTGGATGACACCACAACATAAATTCAACACATTCGTCCGATAAGTCAATCCACTCTTTACGGATTACCTATGTAAATGGCTCAGTCGGTTAAAGTGCTGCCTCCCAAGATTGAGGGTTTGAATCACGCTTGTACCATCTATGTATTTTCACAATGTTGGCCAATGCAGGATGCAACGTCCATACTGCCATGACGTCAATAGGATGTATCAGCCGTACCTTGAAAAGATGTAACGGTCATAGGACAACATCGCCCATACTTTGTGAAGACGCGTCGTCCATGGTTTTTATTAGGCAATAAATTTTATTTATAAAGTATTGAGATATATGCATGTAGATAATTACTATAACTTGTTAATGTATTATGCTGTATTTACATTATTTGTCATGTTTTTATTTGTTATACACTTGGAATATGCATTACATGTATATCGTATACACATGATACAAATGTGTTTTATCTAATAAAATATTTACATTATTTTGTAATTGTTTTTTTTTTATATCTTGCGTAAAACAAAATGAAAAAATAAAACAAATAAGAATGAATATCCAAAATGGGAGATTAATTTCTGTCATAGTTAAAACAATAAGTTTAGTTTTGAAATATAAAACTAAGTAATCAGATAATGATTAATTTTAGATTATAAGAAGATTGTTAATTGCTTATTATTATTTCTTTGATGAACATAAGTATTAATTATGCTTTTGTCAGGAAATTATAAAAGAAATACAAATCCAGATCACTATAAAAACACGGCACCTAAGCTGAGTTCAAGCTGATACAAAAATACATTTTGGTAGTGAAATTCTTGTAACAACATGAACAATACAAGCTGTTTGAGTAGTCTTTTTGAATTACCTACAAAAATGTACCTTGCAGCATAAAAGTATCCAGGATGCGGTACTGCACAGATGGAATATGCTGTTTAGTTTCTACTCTCTGTTAAAAAGCTGTGAATCAATTTTCAAAGTCATAGTAGGAATGAATTATTAGACGCATTACCTTAAAACCAGTCTTCTATGAGTCAACTTGTCTTCAGCATATGTACAAAAGTAAAAATAAATATATATTCTAGACTCTAGATCTATATAACTATGAGTCAGGGGTACTACTTGTACAAGTAATCTTTATTTACTTGAAGAAGTAAATAATAATTACTTATATAAGTTAATTATAATGTTTGAATAATCTCCCCTTAATTTTCTCAAAAATTTACTTGTATAAGTAATTTTTTTTTACAATCCCACAAAAATTCTCAGTTTTAAGACAAAAAGCACATGAGTGCGGTTTCTTTTCTGACACTTGAAAAATATTTTAGAATTTTAAACCTTGTGCCAAATGTTGTCAGTCCAACAGTCTTGACAGACAAATTGATGTCAGAGTGCCAAATCATTTGTTTGTATTTGACGGGTGATGTATCAGCCCAGTTCAAGGACAGTTCAAAGGAAAACTTGTGATGCACCAGCTTACAGCTGTACTAAATTCTTCCAATTATTAATTAACCTGAATTCTACAGATTCAATCTATTAAATATTCCTTGAAATTATGTTACAATTGTTAATTACTTTGTCCATGTTTCCATTGCCTAATTTTGCAATCGCTATTTACACTGTACTGTATATAGCAGTGACTAAAACCCAGATATATTTGTAAAATTCTGAATTTCCAGAAAAAAAAACATGTATAAGTATTACCATGATTACCCCTAGGTTAGTATCCATTTTGGTACATGTCCCCGTCCTTTTTAACTAATTTCAATTTATTTTTAATTTTTAGGGAAATGATGGAGGGTGCCAATACAGATGATGAAGGTTTTACAGATGGAGACAGTCCTGAGGATGTTCCCATGGAAAATGTTCCTGATACTGCAGAGGGTTAGTTTGATCATAAAGAATGAGTGTTGTACATGTACCATAACAATGATCAGTAAAACTTTATTTTTATTTTGGCATATATCGACAAACATTTGATATCATGTAGCTTGATTTAGGTGGATGGATAAAGTACACGTCTGCTCTTTATAAGTACCCTGTCATCTACATTTACAAGTCAGAGCTCTGACATAAACAAGTCAGAATCTTTGAAAACTTGTGTAAGTCAGATTATCTATAAAAATAAGAAGATGTGGTGTCTCCCATTTTTATATGCCCGTTTACAGGATGTATTTTGATTTACCATTGTCTGTCCATCTGTCTAGCATCAACATGTCGGACAATAATTCAAAAACTCTTTAACCAATTTGTATGAAACTTTGGTGAATTGTTTATGTATATTGACGTACTAAAGGTCCCTAAGATTTTACGTTTTTGGAGTTATGGGATATTATCTATTAAAAAACATGAAAAAGATGGATTTTCCAGTTTTCAAAGTGCCTTGAGCAGTTTTCATGAAACTTTGGTGAATTGTTTATATCTATTGATGTAAGCTCCCTTTTGATTTTTATAAATTTTAGATTATACCTTTCCTAGTCATGGGAGATTTTATTCATAAAAAAGTGGGGATTTTCCATTTTTCGGACAATAACTCGAAAGTGCCTTGAGCAGTTTTCATGAAACTTTAATGACTGGTATATATCTATTATAATATCCTGCCTTTAGTTTTTTTTTTTTAATTTCTGATTTGACATTGAGGAGTTATGAAAATTTATTCCTTGAAAAAGCGACAGGCGTATCATGCACTCATGGCGCAGCTCTTTTTTGTAAGAGTTGTCCTTCTTAGGTTGGTATCCATTGTATAAAATCTATAATGGCAATATTTCCTTTTCAGTTTTGATTTAAATCAGGGGAAGGATAAAAATACAGCCAGCTTTAAAAGTCGACATCTTACATTTTAGTTTGATTACTCATTACATTTTTCATTTTATATTGATAAATTTATATTTATTTGAATACTTAATGAGTGCTTGCTTATTTTTTGGGATTTAGGCTATAATTGTTATTTTTTTAATTTTCAGATGATGTATTGAATGACAAAAGTGCTTCAGTATACTATACAGTACAGAACTATACCGAAGGAACAAATTATAGCAAACAGGAAGTTGAACAAATGATGAAAATTGACTCGTACCAGAGAAAGATAGACACTTGTCATTTGTGAGTTGTTTGTTGATATTTGATTTTATGTTTTATAGCAATTCTAATTTGTGAGTTAATAATTGAAAACTGACATGCAAAATTTTAGAGTATTATGAGGTCCTTGAAGTCCCCTTATTTTTTTACAGTATTTTTTCCTTTTTAGCATGGATTCAGAAATTTTTAAAAGCCAAGGTAGTTGCGAGGACCATCCACTATTTTTTTAAGTTTTATTGAGAAAAGGGGGTTTCAACATTGTGTGCATGTCTATGCCTTTTTTAGTTGGTTCAGTATTGTATATAGTCCTACGGATAAATGACTAATTAAGATTTTATGTTTTAAGATACAGAGGATTTAATATTATAATTTGTAGTTTGAACTTTGAACTTCTTTATAAATGTGCATGTGGTCAATAGGAAAAATAAACAGATAACAAAAAAATTTGATAAAATGATTAACTATGACTACTGTGGATTCATTTATTTTTGTGGGAACCAATTTTCATGGATACCTGATTTTGTGGTTTTGCCAAAGTTTTCATTCAAGCCTCAAGGAAATTTCTATTTTGTTGAACATTTAAATTTGTGGTTTGCCTCTTTCCTAAAAATCCATGAAAATTTATACAAAAATAGTTAATCAACAGTATTTTGTAGATCTGACATTGATATGACAAAAATACTCTATACTTTATATCTCTGTGAATGTCAAGTGAATGCTAGGAATTAAATTATAACCTTTGACCTTTATATTTTTAGATGTGGAGAATGTTGGTTTGACAGTAAATGTTCTGCAGGGTGTAGGGAATGTGAAGGATTTCCTATGACTAGACCTTGCCCTGTATGTAATGGAATTATAAACTTTGACCTTTATATTTTTAGATGTGGTGAATGTTGGTATGACAGTAAATGTTCTGCAGGGTGTAGGGAATGTGAAGGATTTCCTATGACTAGACCTTGCCCTGTATGTAATGGCCAGTGCAATGAAATTTGGACCAGAAATGTTAAATTAGTAAGTTGAAGATGTTCACTTTTTGACTTTTACCAATTGTCAAATATTTATATTTATCGCTATTTTACGAATTTTTCCTTTGATCTTGCTGACTGATAATTTCGGTTCTCAGCGGAGTTGAGTGATATGAAAACGGAGTCGAGTGAAATGAAAATTATCGCTAGAAACTAAGGGAACATGTGCCGTTGTCAAGGAAATTAACAACGTCTTCATAAGTAAAATAGCGTTAAACAGATTATCATTGGTCATCTCAACTCGATTGCTTTTCTCGCTTTCTCTGTACCGGCTCAAGCAAGAAAATCAATATATCATTGAGATAACCAACGATAATCTATAAGTAGTAATAAGAAGATGTGGTGTGAGTACCATGAGACAACTCTCCATCCAAGTCACAATTAGTAAAAGTAAACCATTATAGGTCAAAGTACAGCCTACAACACGGAGCCTTAGGTTACACCGAACAGCAAGCTATAAAGGGCCCCAAAAATGACTAGTGTAAAACCATTCAAACAGGAAAACCAACGGTCTAATCTATATAAAAAACGAGAAACACTTATGAACCACATCAATAAACGATAACCACTGAACATCAGGTGTTTGGTTCTTAGAAATTTATGGATACTGTGATCACCAAACACATTTCATCATTTATATTATAAGAATAAGAAATATTATAAAAGATATTTCTTAATTTAACATTTTAAAAAAACTTTGAAATCATTCAAAACCATACATTTTGTCAGATCAATAAAAACCATTACCTTAACAGAATTTTCATGAATAAAAGAGTATTTGAAAAACTGAAAGAAAAATTTGTAAACTTCAACCAACAGAGTAGTTGTTAATCCTTGATTTAGACATATTTAAACAATTTTGCATAAAGGTACATTATTTTTAAATGACATTAAAAATATTCAAAAGGAAGTGTGGAATAAACATCAATATTGAGACATCAAACTAACAACACAAGTTAATCAAAATATACAGTTATCTGAATCTACAATGGACATTCATCCACACAATCGAAAAATGTGTCACACAGCTACATTATAAAGATATGTTGTTAAATGGTGGCAACTTATGGCTTAAGATTTTGTAGAAAATGTTGTTAATAGTACAAGCACCATTTTTGTCGAGCCTGCGACTTTTATTGCAGAAAGCTCGACATAGGGATAGTGATCCGGCGGCGGCGGCGTTAGCTAACTTATTAAAAGCTTTATATTTTAGAAGCTAGAAGACCTGGATGCTTCATACTTTGTTTATTTATGCCTTATGTTAAGAAGTTTCCGTCTGTAATATGTCCATTGTCCTTGACCTCATTTTCATGGTTCAGTGACTACTTGAAAAAAAAGTCAACATTTTTTGTAATGTTAATTTCTTTCTTATTATGAGTAATAGGATAACTATATTTAGTATGTGCGTACCTTGCAAGGTCCTCATGCCCGTCAGACAATTTTCATTTGACCTCCACCTCATGACATGGATCAGTGAACAAGGTTAAGTTTTCGTGGTCAAGTCCATATATCAGATACTATAAGCAGTAGGTCGACTATATTTGGTATATGGATGATTGTAAGGTGTACATGTCCAACTGGTAGGTGTCATCTGACCTTGACCTCATTTTCATGGTTCAGTGGTCAAAGTTAAGTTTTTGAGTTTTGGTCTTTTTTTCTAATACTATATGCAATAGGTCAACTATATTTGGTGTATGGAAATATTTTATGATGTACATATCAGTCTCGCAGGTTTTATTTGACTTTAACCCCATTTTCACGGTTCATTTCTCAGTGTTAAGTTTCTGTGTTTTGGTCTGTTTTCCTTCAACTATAAGCAATAGATCAACTTTATTTGTTGTATGGAAGGATTGTAATGTGTATATGTCTGTCTGGCAGGTATCATCTGACCTTGACCTCATTTTCATGGTTCATTGGTCAATGTTAAGTTTTCATGGTTGAGTTTGTTTCTTAGATACTATAAGCAATAGGTCAACTATATTTAATGCATAAATTGATTATAAGGTGTACATGTCTGTCTGGCATGGTTCATCTGACCTTGACCTCATTTTCATGGTTCATTGGTCAATGTTAAGTTTTCTTGGTTAAGACTGTTTCTTAGAAACTATAAGCAATAGGTCAACTATGTTTGTTTTATTGAATGATTGTAAGGTGTACATGTATTTCTCATTTGGTTTAACTGACCTTGACCTCATTTTCTTGGATCATGTTAAGTTTAAGTGTAACTTGTAGTAAAGCTTTATATTTAGGACTATCAGCATAAAATCAATGGTTAGTAAAGAAGGCGAGAAATTTCAGCGTGTGCACTATTGTTATAGATACAGAAGATCAGAATTAGGACTTATCATTTTTTATACCTTTTGGAATTTTGGGTCCTCAATGCTCTTCAACTTTGTACTTTAAATATTTGGCTTTTTAACATTTTAGATTCGAGTGTAACTGATGAGTCTTTTATGAGATGAAATGCTCGTCTGGCGTATAAAATTATAATCCTGGTATCTTTGATAAGATTTTTAACCTGGTTATAATTTATATTGATACTACATAAAAAATATTGCACAATACAACAGGGCAAACCAACCCAAGGGTCCAGAAACACTTATATTTGGTAGTCATGACCTAAACTGAAAGGTCATTGACCGAAATGGTAGATTGGGATTTAGGACAAATTTTTTTCTTATTAGAAATAATTTTGATCATTTCATTGAGATCTGATTTCTTAGTCGCCATTGTGCACTTGTTTTTTTTTTTTTTTTATCCTTTTCAGATAATAAAACTGCCGCTCCAGTATAGTATGATAATCCTGGGGGTCTCCTAATAATCATATTAATTTTTAGCTGTTGCATTCCATAAATAGTTCTTGAAAGTTTATAGAAAAACAGTAAAAAACTTCATGAAGTAAATGCAATGAAACAGTCAATACAAGTTCGTTGATGCAATGAATCTAGTGTGAATAATTTCAATAATTTGTAAAAAGGCCCCAACTTTTAAGTCAACGCAAAATGACCGAAATTGTGTATATAAATTTCCCGATCTTTGTACCGATCACCTCTGACAAAATGTACAAACAAAGAAAAACAACACATAGTCCAAACCACCTGACTTGGTATATGTACACAATGTGATGGAGTTTAACCTGTTTAACATGTTTACAAATCTCTCTTTTTGTCTATGTAGATCATATGTCGTAAAACCTACAATAAATAAACCTGCTTAAAATAGAAATAATAATGAAAATGTGGTATGATTGCCAATGAGACAACTCTCCACCAGAGACCAAATGATGTAGATGTTAACAACTATAGGTCACTGTACAACCTTCAACAATGAGCAAAATCTATATGGCATAGAAAGCTACCAACAAAATGACCTGGCAGGGTTAGTGAAACCAACAATCGTTTTTGCATGGCCTCACATATAAGGCCATATGTTGTAAAACTAAAGCACACCATAAAAGAACTGCTGAGTTCAGCTACAAACAAAATGACAACAAATTAATCATTTGTTATCTTTTTTTTTGCAGTCTCATTCATATCACGAAGCTCACTGGGAGGGAACATGTAAACTTCCCCCTGAGATGCAGCAGGCATTTATGATACGTAAATTTATGGACTCATCAGAAGAGACTTTAACCGAAAGCATGCAAGATTTGTCTACTACATGATTATTATATTAAAATTTTGTTGTCCAAGGGCTTTCTATTCATCAATCGCTGAGATAATCAGTTTATCAACCTTCATTGCCGCAGAAAACATAATGGGAATTTCATCACTCAGAATATCATTTACCAGCATATATCATGTATATTGCAGTGCTTGATTGTTTGCTTAGAAAATGGACTATTAATTGTCATAGCTGATGCAAATGTATTTAAATATAATGTTCATTGCTAACATATACCGTTTATTTACATACATATACATTGCTGGGTATAAGTTTTTCAATCTTAAGATTTGCAGTTATCTACATTCATCATGTTCATGGCTGAGATTAACATTTTGCTTAGCATATTTATTGCAAAATAGTTGTTGCGATTATTATTTTTTGATCATACACACAATACAAATCTAAAATTTTAAGGATTAGATGCTAGAGGATCATTGTTTACCATTAAAAAAAAATTAGCTGGGGCATTCACTGCTACTAGGGGTTGTTTAACGACCTTCACTACCCATGAGGGTCTCGCACGGTCGGAATTCACTTCTGAAAACATCATTTGTTAACACTATTGTATTAGAAAATGTAAGTTTACATGCATTACTGAGGTAATTGATCTGGATAAAGCTTTTATATGAATTAATATAATGTACACAATCCTTAAAATAGTATGCCCTCTTTGAAAAAACAAATCATGTTAGTTTTTACAAATCACTGAAAAATACCATTGAAGGATAATTTGGAACGCCAGGGTTCTAGTAAATACGTTTGATCCATATCATGATATCATTTCCATTACCAGAAATACTCTTTTTACTATATGCTGATTTCTCACGTCGTTTAAATGTTTTATGGGCTAACTGGATCCCTACATCTTTGAACTGTTAAAGTAATTGTGACTGCTTGACATTTTTCAAACACCCGTCTTTATTCTTATGTACATAATCCAACCTTGCCTTAAGAAATATATCAATTTTATCATTTAAAAACAGTTATCGAAGCAGTCATGAGGCAGTTATACCCATTAGAATATTCATCCCTTAGCTCAACTTACTGACGTAGATTTTATGACCAACATACGCACAAATGACGTCAAATAACGTCAACTAAAACCAAACACTTTGACGGAAAGATAGTGATAGTGATTGGAATCGAGCGTATTGCATATAACTTTTTTACAAGGTTAAAACTACCATTGACATTTCCTCATCAGATAAATGATCAACATAACTATGTAGCCTCAACATGGTCAAATTTGACCTGTAACCTTGGGGGTTTTGGCCAATGACCTTGGGTAACATGTATATTTCTTTAATCCTTTAATCATCATTAGATATAGTGTTATTGTATCTGTTTAAAATTAAGCATAGCCACATGAAAAACATTACTAGATAATATGACATCAAATAGTGAAGAGTTACTGAAAGCTAATTCAAAATGCTTTACCTGCAGGAATTGAAATCATACCAACTTGTATTTTCCTAGCTTTTTGCTCATTGGGGTCAGGTTTTTTTTTTTGTATCAGTTTGTGTTCAGAAGTATTATTTTTCACAGATCTCTTGAACTGTAATATTGTATTAGATATATATACTATCATGTATATAGATTTTTATGGATGCAAAAATAGGAAAAGTTAATGCTGTGACGTGTTTGAATTTATTGATAGTCATGTGTAGTATTAATGTTTTTTGATGTTTTGTTTGTGGATTCTAACAGTGCATTTAAAAATACCTTTGAATTGTTTAATAAATTTTTTGATGAAAGTTCAATTTGAAAAGATTTTACCTTCGGTCACTCATATTCATTCTCATTATGAAATAAAGTGAGTTTAAAACTGTCATAATTATATTTGACAGTTGTCCTGTCAAGTTATTTAAGGTCAAACTCAATAGAATACATCTCAATAGATTTTTCAATCATATCACTTCATTGAATGGGGAATATAACCACACACTAATTTTTAGTCAGATAATGGACATACAGTGGTATTTTTAAATGTTGGGTAAATTCACAGTTTGAGAAAAGACGCTATTAAAATGAATGTAAAAGTGATCATGTTTCATATAGAAGTGAAGCTCATGGTGTTAACCATGACAAAACCAATGTATATTCTCATACATCTGAAATATTCCTGTAATTTTTTTAATTTGAATATGAGATTAAATGATGAATTAAATTTTTTTTGTAAATTAATGCATAATAATAGTTATCTATGACATCGATATATGTTACTATTTTTTTATTTTTTTTTATTAAAGTAAATTTATAGGTAAAACAATGATATATGATCATGACATTTTAACTGTGCTATGATATTTTTTATCTCAACTATTTATGTGTATTATATGAATGATCATACTTTAATTTCTGATATTTTTGCAAGATATTCAATTTGCCTTTTAGTATCTAAAGAACTATGGGTAATCTCATTGTTCGTACACCAAAATGAAAATAACATTACGTCATTGGTTGAATTTCCATTGTTTAGTACGTTTTAAACCAATCACAACTTGTTGGTGTACGCTTTTGAAAATATTACCCAGAATGCATTAGATTCTGAAACGGCGAATTTGCAAATTAGACATTCAAGGTGAAATTCCCGGTACATTTCTTGAAGTAATTTTTATTAGAAGACAGAAAGGGATAAGAAAAAGGTGAGAAAAAAAATTCTTGACAAGGTATGGCCCTTGAAATAGCAAAATTTAAACACCCTACAAATAAACAACTTTAAAGTATTCAGATTTAAACATATGATTTAACTATTTAAAGTATAAGTCATATTTCTAAGACCACATGTTAGTCTACAAAGAACTGTATAAATCCTTGTTAGTCCATTTCATATTTCAATTTCATACCACTTGGATATCTACGAAATCAATTTTAAATCTTTTTACCAAGCAGATGCTTATGCTGATAAAAATATGTAATATATATTTGGCTCAAAATTGTAGCTTATTCTCAAAACTGTAGCTTATTTTAGCATACAAAGTGTACTTAGTATGTATTTATCGACATTCTTTTCAATATCTATTTGATCCTGTTGTGACATATGCTAGACTGAGTTGTAATGTCTGGTGTAAAAAATCCGCCACATAATAAATATGATTTGGAAAGAAACATTGAGAGACAAAAAAAAAGTTTGCCAAAATTTTTCATGTAAACTTATCACTATTAGATATTTTAGACATGTATACAAGGGAGATAATTAATAACACACTAATAAATGAATTTATGTCTTATACAGCCATTTCAACATCATCTCCAATGTCCGAACATAAAATTGTTAAGCCATGTTATCAATTAAAAGAAGGTCACTTGCTAAGTTTTCAAGATTGCCCCTATTTCTACCAAATATCAAATTATGATTAAATGGCCATTATCCAAATGTTCTTTCTTAAGGTAGAAAATGTGGCACTTAAATAGGTTATGCTTTTGCGCTAAATTGTCTGATTTTTTCCCTACTAAAATGTCCTGCCAATTCACTTAAATGACCACCACAGATCAGAATGTGACGGACTAATGTTGATATTTTGTTTGTAAATGAATGTATTGTGTTCTGAGTCCTGAGTCCATTGTTTTGGAATAATTGTTTTGATATTTCTGTGTATATATATCTGTTTATCTATAACTATATAAGGTGATACTCTTTACAATATGTTTTGAAATTGGTAAAGTACTGAAATTAAGTCAATTAATAAAATTTTAAAAGAAATTAATTCTTCAAGGCAACTTGAGAAGAGAATTTAAGAAATAATCTGTCTTTCCACTAAATTTTATAAGAACAACTTGAAAAAGAATATTGATTTAAATTGGCTATTTCAGATAAATGTTATGTCACATGTAGAAAATATTGTTTCAAACCTATTAAATTGTGTTTTTCAATGTGTCAAAATCTTAGTTAGTTTTTAACTGCAGTAGCTAAAAATCTTTGATGGATTATTTCATACATGTATTTGTTTGATGTGGATTTACATAGTTAGTGTCAAACAACATGAACAATTATACACATGCATGTAAGATTTAGTTAAAATTTTGCTTTAAAGGTGAAAAACATTAAGTTTTGATTAAGGAAAGACAACTCTTCAATACTTATGATCTCATTGTACCAGGGTCCAAAGTAAGATTTTCATGTCTCATACTATCATGACTATTGTGTGATTTTGAAATTAGAAAATGGAAAAGTTTAATAAAATGATAAAAAGATAAAAAGAAAAGAAACGTTTACTTGAAGTTTTTCAGAATTTTCTGGCATACAAGAAATGTGAAAATTAAGTTTTGATGTCTTAGATTTTGGAGTTTTCTGTTTTCCTCATGTTTGGAATCAAACAATAGGTAGAAACCGGTAGTCCATTTAGTTTACACCATCATAAAAATATTACAATGACCAGGTATTTTCATTGATTGTGTTTATGTTTGTTTATTACTGTTTAGTTGTAAGGGTTAACCATGTGTTGTAAAGTACAAAAAAAAATTAAATTAAAGCATATACCGTAGAAAGGCTTGTATAGTCCGCGGTTTTATTCTCCAAAATTGGACCTTCCAGACGGGGTGCGGACTATAGAGTACAATAAGCAAGAAATAAGAGAAAATTTCAATTTCGCGGTCGAGGTGGTTTGTTTACATTCCGCCATCTTTGTTATTTCTATTGTAGAGGGCGCTCTTATCATTTTTCAAACTAATAATTTTAACTCATCCATATTAATAAGTTATTTCTATTCAAAATCAAATTAATACTGATAAATATAAAAACTAAACCTTTCATTACAAATTTCTCGTTTCTTTTCAATGCATTGGTTGAAATAAACTGGTATCTGCTCGATTGAAACGATACAAACATAGTGAAAAAGACAACCGTAAACCAGCTTAGAATTTGTAAACTACAAAACGAAATCGGTTATTGTTCGTTCCGTTTTGGTGTTTCATACTGACGAATATGGTTTGTATAAGCTTAAGACCCTTCAAACATTAATGTGATAGATATATTAAAGACTGTTTTACAAAAGGATGGAACTGTTTTACTTTCAAAGTCGTATTATAGTGATATCTGTTATGTACGGATTTCGACTCTCACCGGTTAATTTCGTCTTTTACACGTGCTTTTTAAACTTCCTGTTTAAACATACACAAGTTTCTAAATTGTTTTTTAAGTGAATTAAACTTATTTTAACAATCATGAAGCGTTCTAGAATCATTAACAAGCAGTTTCAGCTTCTGTTTGATGATGGAAAACAGGTTTTTCCAAGAAAATACCGCAAACGACCGCACAGGATTTGAAATTACCGGAGTTTCATTAGACCTTTTCTAACAGTTACAAAAAGTTTTTTTACCTAAAATTTCGTGGGGAGAAGGGGGTGCGGACTATGTACCACTGCGAACTATACAAGCCTTTCTACGGTACTGTGGATTTATTTATTTTCGTGGATTGAGGGAAATTTTTCTTTCGTGGATATTTGTTTCTTTGTTTTGCTGCATATAAGCATATAAAAAATGTATACTTCGTTGAACATTTAAATTTGTGGCTCACATTTTACCCATTAAAATTGGTATCATATGAGCTGCGTCGGATAGAAATCGACATAATGCAAGTGCACATATACATGTATAAGACTTTTGATTGATTTTGAGACATTCAAATACGAAATAAGAGATGGATTTTGGTCTGTTTTGTAGGGTTCTTATATCGACTTAATTTTCAAACAGTTAAACTCATGTCAGACTCTGCATAGAGATTTGTTCAACCCCAAAATAGGTGTATTGATATTGATTTGCATAAGGTCGATTTCTATCCGACACAGCTCATATGAATAATAATAAATCCACAGTTAATTACATGTATATTACATGTTTTGTTTTAAATTTTAATGGTGAAAGTGCTTAATGATTATTCCAATTGCTTATTTTTCTAATATGTTAATATTATATGCCGTATTATGGATGTCTTGTGATGTGGTTGGAACAGATAATAACTATATAAGTTTTCCTTTAGAACAGATATCTACTTCTTTCCAAGTGTAATGCTCTTCTAATTTGTAACAATATACACGATTTGTGGTTTATCAACAAAATTAAGATTTTGGGGTAAATGTTGCATGAAATTCAATTCAACCTTTTTTCACTGACATGATAAGTATATCCTCCAAACCTCATCTCGATTTTAGAGAGTTTGAACAATTTAGTGTATTCAGGTGAACATTCTTCAAATCAGATCAGAGTAAAATTATGTGAGTTGTGTATAGTGTATGTATCTTTCTGTTCTAAAAAATGTAAGTTCAACTACAATATACATGTAATATATAGACAAAGGGAGATATCTCTACTATAAAATATTGCCGAAAAGTCAATGTTTAATTTAAAAATCACATTGCAAAATGAAAGCAATCTTTACCCTATAGTGGTCAGAAGCACTTTGATTAAACTAATGTTCATTAAGTTTTTAATCAATCTTTCAACCTATTATATATGGGTACCTGATTTTCAGTTTTTGGATTTATTTTAGACCTGTTGATCAGAAGTTATTGGACTTTAATAGTCATATTATTTTTGTTATTTAAGTGCCATAATATTAACTTGAAGATGGAAATGCAGTACTGTTCAAGTGTAAATTTTCATATGGGCTCATTTTAAATTTTGCAACCACATAAAATACTTGAAAACATCACCTGCACTGAGAGCTTGAACAAATCAACAATATTGATGAGAAGCGGAAAATTATCTTTCGGTGCACAAGTAAACCTCTGCACAAAATTAAATGTATAATAATTATAACACAAAAATAACAACCCATTAAAATATTATAATTTACTGTATCCCATGTACTCTTAAATGACATGACAATGAATAGTGAACAACAAGAATTGCTTTAAAGACATCCTGTAGTATTTCTTAGATTTAAAAAAAAAACATTTCTTAAAAAACATTTCTCTGTTTATATAATTTTGTAACATTTCTCTCAGTATCTATTATCTGTTCCTGTATTGTTCTGTTTTGTTCATTTATTATGAGAAAAAAAAAAAAAACTAAAAGAAAATTAATAAATAAATAAAAAATTATTGTCTTGAGTTGTCATGCCTGTGCAGAATGCTGGAAATGAGTCATATATGATGCTATTCAATTGGCTTTATAATCAATAGATTTTTTTTAAAAAGCTTACACCATTATACATAGAAATAAGAAGATGTGGTATGAGTGCCAATGAGACAACTCTCCATCCAAGTCACAATGTGTAAAAAGTAAACAATTATAGGTCAAAGTACGGCCTTCAACATGGAGCCTTGGCTCACACCAAACAGCAAGCTATGAAGGGCCCCAAAATGACTAGTGTAAAACAATTCAAACAGGAAAACCAACTCTCTAATCTATATAAAAAATGAGAAATGAGAAACAGTTAATAACCAATCAACAAACGACAACCACTGAACAACAGATTCCTGACAGGACAGGTGCAAACAAATGCAGCAGGTTTAAACGTTTTAACAGGTGCCAACCTTCACCCTGACCTGAAATAGTAGTGTAACATAACAACATAGTAAGACACACTATAACCAACTTTTGGTATTTTTAATGTCACATATTTTGGACATACATTATATATTGTATCATGATGGTTAACATTTGGACTGCAGGAGATACTAACCTTTACTTAATGTAATGAGAGTTTATGCTTGTCTGTATTATTTCATTCACATGAGGGTGAGCAATGGCCAAGTCAACTAAGCAGTTGATCTAAAGAGACCACTAGCCTGTCAACACTGATGTTGTGACTATGGACTTTGTTCATCTAAAGGTGCGTTTGACTCTAATCTTTATCAACTAGTTTAATATGCCAGGCTATCTCCACCAATAAAAATTTGGCAGAAAGACAATCATATTATGACAAATGTTTACATATCATGCATATTAGTACGAGCATATGTTAATTAACTACCCCAGGAATAGATTACCTTAGCTGCATATGGCAAAATTTTTCAGAACTTTTGGTCCCCAATGCTCTTTAACTTTGTACTTTATTTGGTCTTTTTTACTTTTTTGATTCGAGCGTCTCTGACGAGTCTTTTTAGACAAACACATGTCTGCCGTGTATAAAATTTTAATTGTGGTAATTATGTTAAGTTAATTGACATAAATATGAACCCTGCTTTATTCAAGACTAAGTCACTGATTTGAATTGTTAACTTGCTAGATTATATGATTACTGTCCACAGAAAGAAATGTCATCTTTCAGGGACAAATTATTTTAGCTCGAGTACTAGAGTTTGCTTTTATGCCTAAATGCCTCATTTTTAGTAGAGCAGCTGCAAATTCCAATTTTTAACTCATTGGTTTTACCCAGCTTAACCTCACACAATTCAAACAGACCCAGTAGTCAGCACTTGAGTGTCGACATGAATTATCATTGATGTGGTCATAATTATAAATTAACTGTTTAGAAAACTTTTTATTTCTTCGAAATACTAGGGATATTTTACCCCAGGAATATATTATTGTCGAGCCTGCAACTTCTGTTGCAGAAAGCTCGACATAGGGATAGTGATCCAGCGGCAGCGTTAACTAACTACTTAAAAGCTTTATATTCTAGAAGGTGGAAGACCTGGATGCTTCATACTTTGTATATAGATGCCTTATGTTATGAAGTTTCCGTCTATAATATGTCCATTATCCTTGACCTCATTTTCATGGTTCAGTGACTACTTAAAAAAAAGTTAAGATTTTTTGTAATGTTAATTTCTCTCTTATTATGAGTAATAGGATAACTATATTTAGTATGTGCGTACCTTGCAAGGTCTTCATGCCTGTCAGACAGTTGTCATCTGACCTCGACCTTATTTCATGGATCATTGAACAAGGTTAAGTTTTCGTGGTCAAGTCCATATATCAGATACTATAAGCAATATGTCTACTATATTTGGTGTATTTAATGATTGTAAGGTGTACATGTCCAACTGACAAGGCGTCATCTGACCTTGACCTCATTTTCAATATTCAGTAGTTACGTTTTTGTGTTTTGTTCTATTTTCTTTAATATACTATAAGCAATAGGTCAACTATATTTGGTGTGTGGAAATATTTTACGATGTACATGTCAGTCTGGCAGGTTTTATTTGACCTTGACCTCATTTTCACGGTTCATTGCTCAGTGTTAAGTTTTTGTGTTTTGGTCTGTTTTTCTTAAACTATAAGCAATAGGTCAACTATATTTGGTGTATGGAATGATTGTAAGGTGTATA